ACAAAATATTTTATAAAAAAAAATAAAGAAAATACTCATTATAAAAATTTATTACAAAAAATCAAAAAGTTAAATATTCAACATAAAATAATATATTTATATTTTTCACATAATTTTTTGTTTCACGCAACAAAATCATTTGGTCTAAAAATATTGGATGAACGAATCTGAGGTTGTAGTGTTATTTTAATTAAAATATATATATAATTATTATTTATTCAGAACCATAAAAGTATTTTGAAGAATACTATGCTATTAATAAAATAGGCTCTGATTGATATATACTCCCTTCGTCCAGGGATGAACTTTTTTATTAGGGACACTATTTTTTAGGTAGTGTAAATTAGTAAGTTATTAATAATAAGTTATGATATTAGTTTATTATTTTTTATATGAATAATATTATTGGTATTTTCAAAATTTTTAAGATTATATTTCGAAAAAATATATGCAATATGAATATTATTTTATAGATAATAAAATTTTATATAATACAAATAAATAAAAAATATTTTTATTTATTTATCGTTACTATAAATTAGTTTTTATAGAAAATGAAGAGTTTTAAATATAGATAAAAAATTATGTTAATTGAGAAGAGAGATAGAAATAAAGGGGTTTTGAGTTCTAGATGTTCAAAGTTTAATTAAATTGATTTATATTTATTAAGTATGTTTAAAATTGATAAAGTTAAAAAAAAAAAGAAAAAAATTATTTGTGGCGGAAGGAATGGAGTATAATTTATTAAAAGTAGTTTTTTTTTTTTAAAATATTACTTCAAATATATATATATATATTTTTCACTCACAAATTATCATATAAAATATTTTAATTTTTTATTATTTTAGAAAAAAAATTAAAACTTCAATTTAACAAAGCCCTAATATTTATTATTTCTTAATATTTTTAATAAAAAATATTACTTTCTCCCTCGTCAAAATAGGTATTTTGTTTTTACTGTTATAATAGAATTTCTCATTTTATTTTTTTAATAATAACTATATCAATTTTTATATTTTTTACTATAACAGATAATAATAATAATTATTATTATTCATTTTTATTACAAATGTAAAAGTATTTGAAGATATATTTCAATTACAATTGAAATATATTTTTATTAGAAAAGATAAATACGTATCAAATTATTAAAAATAATGAAAAATACAAAAGAACAAATAACGAGGTATGTTTCTTTCTTTTCTTTTAATTTTTTTTTAAAGTTTTTATTTATATTTTACTATCTAAATTTCGTATATTTTAAAAAATAATTATAAAATATTATATCAAAATATTATTTAAATAAAAAATTTGAACATTTCAATATACTCGGTTAATAAAATACGCACTCATGTTGTGTCTGTGTGAAGACAACTAACAGAAGCAACTCACATGACGTGGCCATACGCATGTTTTAGGGTATGTTTGGTTGCCTTTTATATTTATGGTTTGTACTAATTTTTCTTTTTTTTTAAAAAATATTTTTCAAGGTGAAAAGCATTTATGTGTATTTGTTTGAAGGATATGTTAGAATTGTGACTTTTAAATCATCGTCAATATTATTTTTTAATTTATTATAAAAAAATAAAATACTTTATCTGTTCCAAAACTATAGTATTAATTGGGTTGTACGAGATTTAAAAAATATTGATATTATTATATTGATACTTGATAAAAAAAGTATGGATAAAAGATTTTTTTGCCCTTGTGAGTGTATTAGTGTAAAAAGTAGTGACAATTGTGTAATAAAATTAAAAAAATAGAGGTAGTTTTATGGTGATATGGTTATTTATGGAAATAAAATTATTGCTTTGGGACGGACAAAAATAATAAACAAGACTACTGTATTAGGACGGATGGAGTAATACATTGAATTGCGATGAAGAAGAGTACATATTATATATTCCATATGTTTGAAACATCCCACAATATTTGAGTTTCAGTACAAAAATTTAGGTAAATAGTATTAAGTATGGTAATTTGAAAATTACGTGTTGTGATTAGAGAAATAAGTGTATATTTATTTATTTATTTTTATTTGAGTGATGTCATGAGATAAAATAAAGTTTATATTTATATATATATATATGTGAATATAATTAATTCTTTTTAAATTCAAAAATATTGCAGTGAATTTGTGACAAAAAAATTTATTTTTTATTTTGGTAAAAATAATCATTTACTAATATCAAAGTACTTTTAATATTTTATCTAAATTACAAATATACCATTACACATACAATTAATTTATGCATAAAATCAAAATTGTCAAAATATCTTACATATTTATACTGACCAATAAAATACTATTATTTTAAATTTACTACAAAATTCCAAAGGTACTTTTTTTGAGTGAGATGAAGGGAGTTTAATTGTCGTGTTCTCAAATTTTTGAATTTTTTTTTTAAATATTAAATTTGGATAATTAATTAAAATTTATTAGAATAACAAATAATCCAATAAATTCGATATTATAGAAATAGTAAATAACATGAATATTGATAAATTTAGGTTTTTTTTTTAAATCTATATCTATACTTAACTTTTAATTTTATAAATCATTCGATTTTATTTTTATTTTCTTTTTAAAAATTGTATTTTTTTATTTATATTAATAAATTTTTCTTTGTTAATCGTCTGATCAAGTTGAAATTTTCAAAAAGTGTTCGTAATTCGTTGCTCTTTCAATCTAACTGGGAGATTTGTGAATGTTTATAGTTTAATTAGAATTTTACATAATTGACAAATTTTTTTGATTCGTTTTCTTATTCTTAATTTTTCTTAAGTTTGTAATTATTGTGGCATTTTTACATACATTTTTTAAGGATTCTTATATACAATTTCATCGTAAAAGATTTTTTTCTTAGGTCTTACTAGTGATTTTTTTTTTTCTTTATCTCGAAAGATTTTTCATATTAAAATTTATTGTTTTGTTTTTTATATTGTATTTGAAAATATAGTTCGTTATCGTTCATCGTATTTTTACAAGGAAATTGCACTTTTCTCTTGATAAACACTTAAATTTTTACAATAATATTTTTAGTTTAATTTTTAAAATTTTAAATTTGATTATACATAAATTAACTATAGTATTATATTTGATTCTATTATTTTTATTGCTATGTATTCAGTTTAGTTTCTATTAATCAATTTTAATATTCATAAGATAATATAGAAAAAAATAATAAAAGAAATATAGCAAAAATGAAAAAGCAAAGAAAGAATATATGTATGTATATTTTTTTATTATTTATTTTGTTTTATTTTACTAATCAATTTTTTTCATTCTTATTTTATATACATTTTTTTCAAATTAAATTGGTTTTTAGTATAATATTTTAATAGATTTTTTTTTTTTTAAAATTTTGTAGATTAGGTTTAAATTTTGAATATTTAGATTTAAAGGAAAATTTGAAAAATTCATACAGAAAATTAAGATAATTTATAAAAATTATTATTTTATTATAATGGTTCTATTCTTATTATGTATGTATTTTTTTAATTATCTATTTTGTTTTTGTTTTATTATGTATATTATTTTTTAAATTGATTTGATTTTAATAATATAACTCACTCTATCCCACATACCATGTCACTTTCATTTTTTGAAAAATATTACACACTTTAATCTCATTTTAAACTTTTTAATTTTTTTTATTAATTAAACTAATTAGTTATCTTAATCTTAATTTATAATTATTTATATTATAGGATAATTATTTTCACTAATACATTCTTAATTATCTACTAATTACATCCCTCCTAAAATACCGTGTCTACAGTGTAGCAGACACAGTAACGGTACGTGGGACGGAGATAGTATATAAAAAATTATAAGTAGTATTTATTAAAAATTATTAAGTTAGTACATAATTTAATAAACGAATAATATGTGCATAGTCCTGGTTACAGTCTAGTTATTATAATACGAGAATTTAAGTAAACTATAATTATTAAATAATTAAGAAGTATACTTGTAACAATAATTATTGTATAATAAAAATATTATAGGTTAAGATTAATATAATTAAGTATTTTGATTATAATTAAAATATATAAATTATAAATTTTAAAATGTGATTAAATGTATAGTAATATTTTCAGAAAATACAATATCTTATATAGGACATATCGAAATAAAAAAAAAAATTGAACATTTTATGTTGGACATCAGGAGTATTTATTTTCGACTAATGATACACTTTTTGTCATTTACTTTTTGCACGTAATTTTTTTTAATATTACTATTATAATAGATTGTAGTGAAAAAGACAAAAATGCTCATATCAGTATGGTGTTAATATAAAAGTAATGATATTTGTGTAATATAATGTATATTTGAAGGATACTTATTATGATAAGTAGGTAGTACAATTACTAAATTAAGAAATAATAATCTTATTTTGAGACAGACGAAAATAAAAAATGACAACATTTCAATGGGACGGAAAGAATAAATTATTTTTTAAACATAACATCGCATTCAAATACTATTTAAATAAAAATTCAAATGAACATCTAATTCCAATTTAATTTGAAACCACAATAAAAAATAAAAATCACATAATGAAAAAAAAAAAAAAAAAAAAAAAAAAAAAAAAGTGAAGCCCAAATCAATAGAAATTGAATATCAATTGCTTATGCAATGTATCAAATTCACCCAACTTACGTTTTTTCTAAAATAAATGTATGTACAAAAAGAAAAGTCCATAGCTACAAGACGGGTTGTAAATAGCCCAATGGGCCACGGGTCGAGCCCACGGGTCTTTATGGGACACGTGTCAGTTGATGAATGGAAATAATTAAACCCGTTTGGGTGTTGTCTGCGCCGAACTACAGACTGCATGAATGCGATTGCCGAATCTCTGTCGTCCGATCACAAGGACAATTTCGTAATTCAGTGACCCAGTATTGGGCCGGCCCAATAAGGTTGTACGGAACCCACGGGGGAGAGAGTGAAGGGGAGAGAAGACAGTTGGATAACCGCCGAATATTTTCTGTTAGCTTCAGTCGCTGCAGGAGACGCGGGCGCCATTCTCCCTCCATCGAAGCATTCAAGGCTAAAACGAAGCGTTGCTGTTTACTAATTCCTGCTAATTTAAGCTTTTTCGGAATTTGTTGATTTTGTTTATTTTTTTGTTGTTTGGGGAAGGAGGTGGAGGAATCATTCATGGCGCTCATGACGTTAGGTTCCAAGTCTGAAATATTTCAGCGTGACGGCCAATCATGGTAGAATTTCATTCTGTGTGTGTGTTTTAATTTTATTGGATAATGTGATGTGAAGTCTGAGGTATGTAATGGAATGCGATGCGAATTTATTGTTTCTTCTTCTAATTCAGGGTGGATATGGTTTTAGTAGTGGAAATTTTCTCGATTGATAAATGGAGGATTTGATACACGCATGGAATGATCTTTTGCAGGCATTGCAGTTCTTCTGGTCTCCAGAGTGACGTCACAATTGAGATTGGGGAGCTGAATTTTCATCTACACAAGGTGAAGTGATTCAATAGAGTGGCCAACGCATGCTTCTATGATCACCTGTTTTTGCTGTAGATTTATTGTTTTAGGATATGACAGCGAATTTAGTTATGGTGATCTGTTGCAGTTTCCTTTGATGTCAAGGAGTGGGCTATTGGAGAAGCTTCTGAAAGAATCTAATTCTACCGATGGATCTCCTTGTGTTCTACAACTCAACGAGGTTCCTGGTGGAGCTGCAGCTTTTAAGATAGTAGCCAGATTCTGTTACGGCGTTAAGATAGAGCTTACGTCGAGGAATGTAGTGAGTGTTAGATGTGCTGCCGAGTACCTGCAAATGACAGAAGAGTATGGAGAGGGAAATCTAGTAGCACAAACAGAGGCTTTCTTTATTGAAGTTTTCAGCAATTGGACAGACACAATAAAAGCTCTTGAAACATGTGAAGAGGTTCTGATGCAGGCGGAAGAGCTTCATATTGTGTCGAGATGCATACAGTCTCTGGCGACGAAGACTTGCTCTGATCCCATGTTGGTCAATTGGTCTGTATCTGGAAACAACGAGAACGATGGCAGCTCAGGATCTGGGCTGTGGAATGGGATACATAGCGGAACAAAGCCACAGGCTGTGAGTGATGACTGGTGGTATAAGGATGTGTCCTTCCTTAGTTTGCCTCTTTTTAAACGCCTGATTCGAGCTGTTGAGGCAGGGGGAATGAGGGCTGAATGTGTTGCTGGAGCTTTGGTCTTTTATGCGAAGAAATACATACCGCAGATGAGTAAGCAATCCAGCTACAAAACTATGAATGCAGCTTCATCAATTTCGATCCCTTCTGAGGCTGATCAAAAAGCACTTCTTGAAGAGATAGTAGACTTACTTCCGAATCAGAAAGGAGTGGTTCTAACAAGGTTCCTTCTCAGTTTGTTGAGAACAGCTATGGTTTTGCAGGCTAGTGCAGCCTGCAGGGAAAATTTGGAGAGAAGGGTAGGATTGCAGTTAGACCAGGCTGCATTAGAAGATCTGTTGATACAAAACATGGGCTACTCCGGGGAGACGTTGTATGATGTCGACTGTTTTCAGAGAATTCTTGATCATTTTTCATCAATGGAGCAGTCATCAACTGTTGCTTCTCCAACTGTTGTTGAAGAAAGTCAGTTAATGGAAGGGACGCGGTCGTTAACATCCTTGGCAACTGTGGCTGATCTGGTGGATGCTTATCTTGCTGAGGTAGCACCAGATGTTAATTTGAAGTTCTCCAAATTCCAAACACTTGCGGCTGCAATTCCTGATTATGCCAGGACGCTTTCGGATGGAATATATCGTGCAATTGATATATACCTGAAGGTAAAATATCTCATTACTCAGCTCTGTAGTCAACTCGAAACAAGCTCCATTGTTGTGTAGGAATATTAGATAAGTCATATAACATGCTAATAAATTTATATCTTCTTCCATTGATTTTCGGGAAATATGATCAAAGAAAAGATTTATAATATGTTTCAGTGTTATCATTCTTGTGTTCGTTACTAAACAAAAGAACCTCTTTGATAAGTTAATTAACCGAATTATTTGCATAGGCACATTCTTGGCTTACAGACACTGAGCGGGAGCAGATCTGTCGTCTCATGAATTGCCAAAAGCTTTCAATGGAGGCATGCACTCATGCTGCCAAAAATGAGAGGTTACCCCTAAGAGTGATAGTGCAAGTCTTGTTCTTTGAGCAGCTGCGATTGCGAACGTCGATCTCTGGTTGGTTCTTCGACAACCTGGAGAACTCTGAAAATCCAAATTCAGTTTTTGCACACTACAAGAATGATAACTCCCGCCAAAGGGATGGCAAAATGCCGGGTTTAGAAGATATGAGGGAACGGGTATCCGATTTAGAGAAGGAGTGCGAAAGCATGAGAGAGGAGTTTCATAAGCTGGTTAAAACAAGGAATTTCTGGAACTTGTTCTTCAGGCGGAGATCAAACAACACCAAGTCCAAGCCAGTGAAGCATCGCAGTGTCAAAACATAAAGCTGTAGCCTTCAAATGTCCATCGTTAGGTAATTCGTGCTACTGTTTGAAAGGTATGTATACAAGTATACTTCCATTTGTTTTTTTTTATTGAATGTAGTCTTTTTTGTTCTTTCAATTTTGAATCACATGCAGATCGAAAAATATTTGGAATGCTCTGATCGGAGACAGAGCCTTGAGGATAGAAATGAGCTGCAGATCAATAGGCCTACCTTATCTGTACGAAGGTAACATGCGTACGTAGATATTTATTTCCTTCCAAAAATTTTCAGACCATGGTAGCTATAGCTTCTTGCAATTTTCAAAGTGTTTTAAGGTTATTGCTGAGTTTAAATTCATAGTATAGAGATAGTTGCATGCAGTGGACAATCTGTAGGCATATTTGAATAATGTCTTTGCATGTATTATGACATCACACTGTCTTTGTCTCTAGAAGCTGACTTGGATTTAATTGAATTGAATTGTATCTGCATTTCTTGTAGTTCATTTTCTTCTGTGATGAGATTCCTAAGAGTCACTCACATTTTTAATTTCTAGAATAGACAACTCAACTAGGAATTGGCTTCTGTTATTCCACAGTTGAAGTGAATACATCCCACCCACAAAAAACCCACATATTAAGATAGTGAAATGAAACTGAAAATGCCCTCTAGGACCATAACTATTCATCATCCTTGCCTTTTAGATTATCCAAGGTGCACATGGACCATTCTCCTTTTCCCCATCCCTCCCCTGTTTTACCCCATTGCTTGTTTCCTTCCACTCCCATTTTGGTCTTGTCTTTTTCATTTATCCCTTGCCCTGTCAGAAAACTTTGATCAAGCACCACCTCATCCCACCACCCCACCACCACCACCACACCATTCCCATCCCATTTACTTTTAACAGCAACATTAACCCTTTTAGTTTCTAGAGGAGATAACATTGTCCCTTTTGTCCATGACCACCTTTAAGTTGACACTTGGTCCTTCCCTAGTTGTCACTTGTCTTTGGTTGGATCAATGCTGTCTGTTGCCTAAGGTTGTCTGAACACTAACAGAAGACAAGAACCAGAAATAAAAAAAGATTAGTTGAACATGCCTGTAAATACCACACACTGGTCCCTACTTGAACACATGGTCCCAACTACCTTCATTGTCTCTGCTTGATGATTCTATCCTCAGTTACACAAACGCACACACAAACACAATTGTCACTATAGTGTAGAGGGATAATTACTAGTAGGATTCCATTAGCAGGAAAAATCACATAATGCACTTTAGTAGAAACACAGGCTAGCCAAAAATATGAAGGTAGTTTGATGCGCGTTGCGCAGTCAGCACCGATAATTACACCAGATTCCCCTCACTAGTTGTATAACAGTCCTAGTTAGTTCATTCATTCATTACTATCATAAATCTGATCGTCCCATTACAAGATTTTCATCTGGACATAGATCATTTGTATTGCTTTTGAGCATGTCCAAACTGCTCCATCTGCCAGCTCAGCTTTGTAGCAACACCCTCATGGCTAGGCACATACTCCTCCAATTTCTTGACAAGCTCTTCCGGCGTAGGCGCAGAAACTATAATGTTTCGCGCATTTGGACTAATGAAACCTTCCTCTACAGCTTTGTCGATGAACGACAATAATGAGTTGTAGTATCCATCCACATTAAGCAAACCTACCTGCAATACATCAATAACACATCTTTCATTTTCTCTCCTCCTTTTTTTCAAATTCTTGTCCGCGGCTTTCTTAACGTTTGAAAGCTCGTGCGTGTCAAGAATTTAACTTTACCGGCTTATTGTGGATCCCGAGCTGAGCCCAAGTTATAACTTCAAGTAACTCCTCCAATGTTCCATAACCACCTACATGAATGATCACAAAATGTTGTAAACAGTACCAGACATCTTCCACAATACCATTAACCCTATCTTTTTGTGAAACTTCAGAAATGGTGAGTGCCTTTTGCATCATTTACAAATCAAGTATACATATTAATTGATAGCTACAAAAGGTCTCATCAAGAATACCCAAAAGGGTCCCTAATTTTCAGTGCAACAAGATGGATGGCTGTTGGAATTTGTGAAAAAGCACATACAAAAGCATTATGACAAATAGTGCAATAATAGAAGCGAAAAAGCAATCAAGATACAAATTTTGGTTACATGAAATTGTGATGAACATTCACACACTACTCAGTACATGATAGAAAGTGAGAATATGTTTATATTTATAGAGTAGCATCTTAGACCCCACAATTGGCCTATGCCAATTATATCCTTAACCAGACTTTGGGCTTTAATAAACTTCAGAATCCAACAAAAAGTTTTTTTTTTTTTTATTTTATTCAAAAAAGAAAAGAAAAGAAAAGAGCAGAAAGAAGAAAGGTGTAGGTAGCCTCCTCCACAGCCACAACAAAATGAAAGTGAATCTAAACTGAAAAAGCCATTTTAACATATAGCTTCATAATTAAGGATATCCTTAAACTACATGCACAAGATAAAAGCCTCTCAAGATTTCCAAGAATTTAAAAGATGAGAGGAAAAAAAATGATGAAAGGGGGATTATACTAACAGCACTTAGGAAACATGAAAAGTAGTGAGTGGAATTCTGACAGGGGCCATAAAAACAAAAATAAAAAAGACACACATCTAAAAACTTTCCCCATTCCATTCCATGACAAGAAAACAAATCAAAGGCACAAACAAAAGCCTCCATCTTTGACAAACCTGGCAGGGCAATGAAAGCATCCGAATGCTTTGCCATTTCTGCTTTCCTTTGGTGCATATCTGCCACAGCTTTCACTTCTCCCACTGTTTCACCAGTTAACTGCCATATAAACACAATCCCCAAATTGGGAAAAGAGAAAACCTTTGTTGATCAACCTAGAAATAGGACAAAATCACCACACACCCTAGTTTGAGGGCTTAATTACAATGCTGCAGTTTGTAGGAATACAGATACAAATATAATAAAACTGTACTATGTGTAATAAAAAAACACTTAGCCAGACACCCACTCAAGTGCTTCTGTCTATGGATAAGGTTGGGAAAGGACCAACCAAGAAACAGACAAGAAATTGACTTTCCAAGTTATGGGATCAATAAGAAAGAAAGTGATAAGTAAGCAGCCAGTGAACAAGAACAAAAAAAAAAAAAAACAAAGAAAATGTAAAGGAAAGGGAAGACATTAGACATATCCTTCTTTCTTGCTTTACTTTTACCTAAACAGATTAAAGAAGAAACAAGAAAGAAAGAAAAAAAAAGAAAAGAAAAGTACTAAACACCAATAGTGGGGCTTTGTCTTATTAATTCATAATATATATAATGAGAAAAATAAAAAAGGCATGGGGCTTTTTGTACAGTGCAAATAAAACATATTTATATGTATGTATGTATTTATACCTCTCTAGGCATGAGTGTCTTGGGAATCACCCTGAGAGGGAGACAACAACATGACAGACAGTGTATAAGTTTTAGTGTAAGAATCAAAAAGAAAGACTAATAAAACTTTATTCAAAAAAATAAAATAAAAATAAAAATAAAATTCTAGTTGTTACCCAATAACATGGCGGCCACCATCATGAACAGCTTGCGAAACCAAGCCCATCAATCCAATGCTGCCTCCTCCATACACCAAATCAATGTTCCTAGAAACCTTAATTAACAAAAGAAAAAAAAAAAAAAAACCTCCATTGTTACAATTCTTGATCTGTTTGTTTGGGAAAATGGGGAAATAGATTATGATGATATGATTGATTAATGTGTTGGTTATTAGTTAATTACCAGGACTTTTCCGAGCTGAATGGCAGTCTCTTGGTAGCTTGTCTTCTTGCCATGGCTGCTCCCACAGAACACACACACCCTCTTGAATCTTGATGGCTGCTTCCCTTCTTCTCCATTCTCCATTTCCATTTCCATTTCCATTTCAGACCCGTCTGTCTTGTACTGTGTCTTCTCTGTTTGTCTTGTTTTGCTGACAGTTTGGGAATAAAAAGAGTTGTCTTTCTACAACTACACACCTCCGTTCTGTGTAGCTAGCTTCTTATTTTGTGCTATATTATGATATATAAATATACAGAGTAGAGTGTCTGTATATATGTATATATTAGTGTGTGCGTTTTACATGTATTTGTGTTAACCAGTGTGGGTGTGGTCTTTCTTTGACTTCACCAATAGCAGCATTGCAATGGTGGGGGTGGAAGAGAAGAAGGGCCTTTGTTCATTTTATAGAGGAAGCTCGCACGTGTGAAAACAACTGGTGTTGGTCGCACGTGTGCCGCCTTTAGTGTTCATGACACTCCACTCTTCACTTATATTTGTTCATAGCGTTTTTTCTTTTTTTTTGTTAAATTATTATTAATATATATATATATATATATTGAATGGCATTATATTGAAAAAGAAAATGCATCGTGGTATTTAATTGCATAAGAGATAGGAATGTCATTTTTAAATGTTTGTGAAGTTTAGTTTTAATGTTTTTACATTATAAAATGATCTAGTTTTAATTTAAGCACCTATTTTAATGTGTTGTATATTTTTTGTCTTAAAAAAATAAACAGTAATTAAAAGAGTAAAAAATAGTAAAATTCTTTACTTAAAAAACTAAATATACTTTTTTATGATAGTTGAGAACTATTTCATTTTATAAAAGATCATATGCAAACACACTAAAAAATTAAAACAAAACCACCTCATTATGAAAATATTTATAATTTTAATATTTTTAATATTATCAAAAATAGTGAGTTAATCCGCTTAATGGGCCAACTAAATTTTATGATCTTGTCATGAATTGATCCACAAACAATCTATTTGTTTACATATAGGGTGTGTTTGTCTGGTGATGGATTTTGAATTGAGATTTGAATAGTAAAAATTTTGAATTTGAATAGTTGTATAATGTGATATAAATAGGCGTTGATGTGATGTTTGAATGTAAAATCGATTTTTAGTATAATATAAAAAATAAAAAACAGATGTTTTATTTGATGTTTTTTGAGAAAAAAAAAAAAAGGATGAATAGTATATTTAAAATCTAATCCCAAACAAACACACCCATAATGAATTGTGAACTAATCCGTTATGACAATCAGTTCAAACTAAAAGCTAAAAGCCTAAAATAAATAAAACAAAACATAATTCCGCACAAGTAGGATGTGTTTGTTTGGGGGTTTGGATTTTGGATTGGGATTTGAATAGTAAAAACTTTGAATTTGAATAGTTGTATGATTTGATATAAATAGGTGTTGATGTGATATTTTGAATATAAAATTAATTTTTAGTATAATATAAAAAAATAAAAAATAAGTGTTTGATTTGATATTTTTGAAGGAAAATTTTTTGGATGAATAGTAGGATTTTGTCAAAATCCTACAAAAGAACACACCATTAATTGAGTTTGGATACACACTAATATCACCCTTTTACAATATGAGATTAAATATAAAAAACATGTTCAATGAAATTTAAAATATTAAAGAATTATTTAATAATATTTATTGTAGTTTTAAAATATTGTTATATCGTGAGTATGTTTGGTTTGCATTTCAAATCAAAATTATTATTGTTCGACAGTTACGGATTTTAATAAAAATATATAATTATTTTTTTATAGAATATAACATCAAAAAATTATTTAAATTAAAACTCAAATCAAAACCAAATAAATCATACTAAATCGTTAATTAAATTTTTTTAAAAAAAAATAATGATCAGATATTATTATCTTTGTTCACTAAACTTATACATATTTTTCTTATGTAACTGTTATATTTAACAAAAAATTCTACATACGCTCATAAGGTGTGAATGGGTAAACTCACAGTCATGTGATCCGATTTAAAAAAATAAAATAAAATCTTCAACACAACTGATCTTGCATGCTAAAAATGTACAACTTTTCCTACTAATTAAATATAACATTTTATGAAATACATATATATATACATACAGGGACGGAACTACACTAGACTTTGGGCCCAAGTCTAATTTTTTTTAGTATTAAAAATATTAATTTTTATGTATTTATATGCAATTTTCCCCCTTATAAAAAAAATACCTAAATTCATATATAATTCTGTCATTATTATTTATTTAAATTTATTAACTAAATATTAAATAAATTATAACATTTTGTCCCCTCGAAATTTAGATGCTAGTTTCGTCAATGTATATATATTTCTAAAAAAAATTGCAAAAACTGTATATATATTTCTAAAAAAAATTGCAAAAATTATTAGATATATATATATATATATATTTATAATTCAAGATAAACCAAGCCTGATATCTCAGCAAACAAATGAGACAACATTGATTTTAGAATAGTGATTATCTAGAAGGTGAATGCCGGATATATCTTCACCGTTCATTCTTCGTGCATCGATCCAACGGTTCAGAATGGACGATCGATCAGCTGGTGTATAATCGAGTACTTGTTTTAATTCCCCAATATTAATATTAAAATAAATTACCATATTCACATTGGGATTGCAAATGTCACAACAAACAAACAAACAAACATACTCTCTGCAACCAGGGAAAAAATAAAATAAAATAAAATAAAATTTATTTTCCACCATAACCAGAAAAAAAAAAGCCTGAAATGAAATGGACAGTGGAAGATGGGCTTTAGAAATATCGTAATATTATTATTATAATTACAGCAAAATTATATAGTAAATGGCCATCTTCGTTATGGGTCAATTTAAATTTATTTAGATCATGCGTTAATTAAATAAATAAATAATAACATAAGTTATAATTTATATATAATTGAATATTGAATATTGAATTATAATAACATAAGTTATAATTATATCTGTACTGCACTGGACAAGTGTGTCTGCTGTATGCATGCTTAGGAAACAAATTATTTTATTTTTAGATTTTTTAAAAAAAGTATTAATTAAATTATTATTTTAATTTTTTTTATATTATATTAAAAAATTGACTTTACATTTAAATACTGTTATATTAATACATATTTATACTATAATAAACCATTATTTAAATTCAAAATTTTACTACAAAATTCAGACAGCAAACTCTTATATTTTTATAATTATATGGTTTTATTTATGCATATATTTAAAAAATAAATATATGGTATTATTTATTAATAGTATTTTTGAAATAAACATTTCAAAACTCTCGTCTAAACAAAATATATATTTGTCTATATTTTTTTTAATTAGAATGAAAGTGCTTTAACACTATTATCGTCTAGTCAGAAAGTATACAGTATACAGTTGTTTTTTTTAATTGATATTTGAATATTAATTATTATATCAAAATATAATACAAATTGAGAGAAAATGACAAAAATATATTTATTAATCTCTTATAATACAAATACGATGATAATTGTGAAATAAATTATACAAATACAATGATATTTTTAATATTATATAACAACTATATACTTTTTGGCTGGCCAGGAGCATAGAATATGTGTTAAATGTGAAATTTAAATTATTAGTATATTCAAGTTAATTGTAATATATAGTGTAATTATTATTATTATTATTATTATTATTATTATTATTATTATTATTATTATTATTTGCTGATATTTTATATTCTCTCTTTGATATAATTTGTCCATTTTTTTTTATTTCGGTTTGTCCCACATAATTTATCATTTTTTTAAAAATATAAGTATATACTTTCATCATATTTTAAAAATTTATAATTATAATTTTTTTATTTTAATTATACTATTTAGTAGAGTATTACATTTTCATTTTTTAGCTTCCTCTATTTTGATTTTCTTCTTCTTTCTATTTCCAATTTTCTATCTATTTTCATTTGTCGCAACAGGAACATATATTTATGTATTTTCTCTATAAACTATAAGAGAAAAAATATTAATGAAAAATACTACTTCCAAATATAGATAATTATGATCAAATTAGATCAATAAATTCTATATTTTGTTACAGTTAAATTATATAATATTTCTTGTATTATAATAAAAATATACAAAACACAAAGTGTTTTATTTATTACATGAAACTCTCTTGTGTTAATGTAAAATTTACATGAAATATCCTCCTTATTCAAAACTGATATTTGATTTTAAATAAAGACCTAAATTATAGCAAGTTCAATACAAATAAAAAACGCAAATCTTAAATAATTTTTTTTGAATAAAATGAATGAATAAATAATTCATTTTATACTTTTTGAAAATAAATTGTTATCAAATTTTTATAAAAATTATAAAAATAAATGATTAATCAATTATTTATTTATTTATTTTATTCAAACAAATTATTTAAAATATTTTAGTTTTTTATTTGTATAAAACTTGCATAATTTTGGTCTTTATTTATAATCAAATATTAGTTTTGGACAAATAAAATATTTTGTGCAAATTTTATATTAACACAAAATATTTCACGTAATAAATAAAACGCATGATATTATTTGCATTTTTATAAACACAATCAGATATTATATAATTTATCGTGCTTTTTTTCATTTTCTTGATATTCTCAATTTTGACAACATGTCTCCCTAAAAAAGCTTTGGATCCATCAAATTATTGTGCAATTTATTTATTTATTTATTTCTAATTATGTGTGGATACAAATACTTAATCTAATATTTTTAATTTATTATGATATAGTAGATACAAATACACTATATAATATTCAATGGTTTTTTTAATTTACTTGATTGAAAAAAAGTAGAAGTTTGTATGTATGTATATATATGGTTTTGTTTTGTTTTGTTTTCTAAACCCTAATTGATGGCTACAAGGCATGCATGACCCATATATATGTGTATATATATATATATATATTTTTTTAAAAAAAAGTTGAGTAATGAGCTTCTTAATTAATATTTTTTTTTTTCGTCCAATTTGAAAGTATATATTCACTTTTAGTACTCCCTCCGTCTCATAATAAAGTATCTATTTTTTTGTTTTGGTCTGTCTCATAACAAAGTATTTATTTCTTTTTTTAATAAATGTATTATCTACATAATATTACAAACACCTTTACAACTTTCAATATATTACACAAATATCATTACTTTTATATCACACAATACTAATAAAACCATTTTAGTCATTTTTACTTTATTCCTGCTATATCCCAATATAATACTAATATTTTTTAAAACTCCGTGGAAAAAATAAATGGATACATAGTTATGAGACGGAGGAAGTATATAGTTTAAAAAATAATACTCCCTCCGTCCCGGATATTTTGTCCGTTTTACTGTAGACACGGGAATTTATGAGGAGTATAATTAGTAAATAATTAAAAATATATTAGTGAAAATAATTATCATATAATAAAAATAATTATAGATTCAGAGTAAGATAACTTATTAGTATAATTAAAATTAAAAAGAAATTACAAATTAAATTTTTTAAAATAAAATTAAAGTGTATAATTCTTTTCCAAAAAGGAAAGCGACAAAATAAGTGGGACGAACGAAAATGAAAAAGTGGACCTGAGATGTGGGACGGAGAGAGTAGTATTTTAATTACAATAGATAATTAAAAATAGTGTAAAAATAATTATATTTATTTTTTTTATATAAAAGTAAGAATGTGATGGCAACACATATGTATTTGTAAAATAACAGTTAGGGTATATAGTTATTAAAAAAAATATTTACTGTATTGTTAGAAAAATATTTTCAAAAATAAAAATGTGTATAATGTAAGAAAGAAGTACTATTCTAACATCGAAGTTATCTCTTTCACTCATTATTTCTCCCACTAATATTCTTTTTCTTTTTATTTTTTTTATTATTATTTTTTTTTCTATAAAACATCAATTTCATCGTCCATCTCTCTTTTTATTTAATAAATAAATAAATAAATATTTAGCAACACCAAAACACACGATTACTCTTCTTCATGTGTTCGGAATAATCTCAAAAATAATAACCTATAAAATTATATTAAAAAAAAAAAAAAAAAATCATACTAGACAAACTGTACGACAAGACCAAATTTGAGTAGTAATTTATCATATAAAAATACTTTATCATATACTTTCTCCGACAATTTTCTAATATTTTATTTGATATTTACACGTATTTTTAGACAATTAGGATTTTTGTTATAAAATGACAAATTTATCTTTAATCTTGTGTATAGAAAATGAAAGAATAAATAAAGTAAAGGTAAAAGAGTAAATTTTGTGTATAAAAATAGAAAGAGACAATAATTGCTAGACATTTAAAATAGGTAAGTAGAATGTTAGTTTGTAGACTGAGGGAATATATATACATACATACATACTCTTTATTTGCCAAATTTATATCAAACTTTTTTTCATTTATAAACCAAAATACATTAGGAACTTGGATGGATCCATATTTGTTTGTTCGGAGGTTTGAATTTTGAGTTGGAATTTAAATAGTAAAAGTTTTGAATTATAATAGTTGTATAATGTGAAATAAATAGGTGGTGATATAATATTTTGAATGTAAAATTAATTTTTAGTATAATATAAAAAAATAAAAAATAAATATTTGATTTGATATTTTATTTTTGGGAAGAAAATTTTGAATGAATAGTAAAATTTTGCCAAAATGCTTTAAACGAACACAAAATTTAACATTTAACATATTAGATATATTTTTACCACCTTTAAATGTTCTACATCCTTTGAATCCAAAAGAGTGGTCAATTTTAAAGAGTCTGAAGTCCTAGTAAAATCTAACTACTTAGGTCAAACCTTGTTAAAAAATCTTTTGTTTGAGTCAACAAAAAAGTATTTTAATTTTTAAAGAAAATTAAAAAAAAAAAAAAAACTGAATTATCACTTTTGTCGTTTATTTATCATTTATATCTTTCGACCGTGTGTAGAACAACCCTCGTATGAACATGATGCGCGACTGGAAGATAGAAATAATGACTTTTACAAATGTATATGATATATATTTTGTCAAACGAAATAAATAATGAAAGTGATAATTCAAAATACTTCCTCAGTCTCACAAGAAGGATACTATTTTTTTTTTGTCAGTCCCAAAACAATTATATCTTCTAGTATATTATACAAATATCATTACTTTTATATCACACAATCTAATAGGGATATTTTTATCGCTTTTTACTATAAACCGATAGTATTAATATTAAAAAATTTATGTATAAAAAACAAATATTGTTCTTCTTCCAGAATGGAGGTAGTACTCTAATTTTTTACAATTTTATCTAAGTTTCAAAAAGTTTGAGTTCCACAATGTTTTGGTGAGAATGAGTTGCTTATTTGAGTCTGACCTAAGTCTTGTCATAGATTAGTGTATGACATACCAAATTATGTCCGAGTTCAGCCTAGTTTAAATTCCTAAATTTTGGAAGCAATGGATCCAAGTTTGTCATGTATTTTGGGCTTTGGCCCAAATAAAATGGGCCTGGGCCCATATTCAATTAATTACCATTTCTCATTATTTATTTACATTAACATGCAATTAATTAATTAATCGTCCAATGAAAAATCAGGCTCCAGAGGCTTCTGTAACAAATTTATCAGCTCCTTCTCCTTCTGCGACCTGGTCCTCAAGCTCCCGGCCCTTCCTGTGCTGAACGCCAACTGCGCGTCATAAATAGCCAGTCCCGACGCCATCGGCGGCAAAGACGTCGAACACCGCCCCTTCGCCAACTCCGGCGGCTCCGCCTCCTCATCCTCGAGCGCCGACGCCGCCGCCGTCTTCCTCCTCTTGTACCGGAACCACGCCGCCTGAATGAAACACGCCGCCCACGTCCGCCATTGATGCGAGTGAAACCTAAATTTATGCTTCAATTGCTTGCTGTGCAGCTTCCGAAACTGAGACGCCACAAATTTAACGTCGGCGGAAATTAGGGCAAAAGCCTCAACCTCTGTAATGGCGATTACCGTTCTGGTGGAGGAAGGGAGGAGGCCGCTGGGGCGGGGATATAAAGCCCAGCTTAGAAGCTCGTCGCCGCAGAAGTCGCCGGAGCTGAGAACGCAGGAGTTGAAGAATCCGATCTGACCGCCGTTGGTGGTGGAGGAATCGAGACGGCCTCGGAGGATGAACAGCATCTCGGTCACCGGATCTCCTTCTCGGACGACGCACGTCGCCGCCGTGCAGAGCACCGGCTTCAGCCGCTCGCAGATCGCGTCCAGAGTGCTTCCGTCCATTTCGTCGAACAACGGAACCTAATTCCACAACCACCGCCATGAATGATTATGAATCTCTGTAAGTAATTGCAGAGAATTTGGGGGAAATGATCGAAATCGGATTGGAATTTGGGGAAAATGATTGAAATCGGATCGAATTCGGATCTGATTTTGAGGAAAATTGTCGAAATCAGATCGGATTTTGCGGAAAATCATCGAAATCAGACCGGATCATGAGGATAATCATCGAAATCAGATCGGATCATGAAGATAATCATCGAAATCAGATCGGAATATGACGAAAATCAATCGAAATCAAACCAAAACTTACTCTGCGAACGAGATCGAGGCAGAGATGGTGCTTGATGTCACGACGGAGATCCAACGGAAGTTCTCTGAGAATAGCTTCCTCGTCGACTCCTCTGGCGGTGACCCAACGGTACAAGTCGTATCGCCGCACTCTCTCCCTCATCTCCCTCGGAAGCTGCCGGTGGCGCATCCATTTCTCCATATCCGTTCTCCGAACTCTCCATTCCTCCAACCGCGCCGTCGAAGCTTGAAGGTACGTCTGCAACTCAAATCTCCCCAAACTCAATTTCAAATTTCACACCAACACTCCATTAAATCAAAAACCTCACTCACAGTCACCTGCATATTCCCGATCAACAACGCGAAGAGCACCAATCCTAGAATCGCTATAATTATCGCAAAATTAATTTCCCCAATGTACGTCGTCGTTGTCAAATTCTGCCCAATCGAACTTCACAAACACACAAAAATCAAATCAAATCACCACACTGATTATCATCAAACCTTTGTTCTACCACATATATATATATAAACATTACCTGAGATTTCTGAGTCCCCACCAGAGGCAGTAAAAGTACTTGCTAATGAACCCAGCCTTAGCCACGCCATTGCTCAACACATCTTCATATATTCCAAAATCATAGAAACTGTTTTTCCCGCCACACAATACCGAAACATTGCTCGACAAGAACCACACCGATCTTCCAGGATGGCTTTTCGAGTCGCAATCGAAGTAGAAGTAATAGCAATCAGGCTGACTGTCGCACAAATCTCTCCAGCACTTCTCTTGCCTTTCCACCGACAGAAGATACCAGCACGATCCAATCACCTGCCATTATCGATCCCCCTGAAGTTATATACTAATCGAAATCCAACTATGTTGAAGTACATTTAGAATCGAAGATTGCATCACTTACATGACTTGCAAGCATGAACAGCATTAGATTGAACACGGCGCCGGCCCAGGCAGCTTCGATCACAACCCCGACGGTTCGGATTATCTTAGACGAGAGCGGGAAAATGAGACACAGCCGAAGAACAAACTGGAATATGATGGTGATCCGGAGGCCGTGCTTCGCGCTTATCACGTTCGTGCCTCTCATGCTCGGTATCGCCGCCCATATCAACACCTGCAAAGACCACGGGTTTGTTTTATTAGGTTGTATTTTTTTTTTTTTGTTGGATTTTTACTATATATTTTTTTTCTTAAAAAATATTACATAAAATAATTATTTTTTCTTTTTTATATTATAATACAAATCTATTATATTTAAAATATCACATTAACCTCTATTTATATTATATCAAACAACAACTATTCAGATTCAACTTTTTGCTATTTTAAAATTTCAAACTAAAAAATTAAAACTCACAAACAAACACATCCTTGGTGTTTTTGTTCGAGATACAATAATATTTTTTAATATAAAATTACAGAATTGTGTAAATAATATAAAAAATAATATTTTATGTTAAATTTTAATTTTTATAAGATGAACAAAATATATATTGAAAATTATTGAAAACCAAATCCCAAAGCTGTTTGAAAAATTTGATACTATTCATCTGACAGTTAAAAAATATTGAATTTAGAGAAAGATTACTGTGTGCTTTTTAAAAAGATCGTTTCAATTAACACAATATATGTAGCGTTGTTAATTAAAACTATGTACTGACAATTCTCTATATATATATATATATGATGTGTTGTATAGATATATTTTACATGTGTAAAGTTGTTATATCGGGTTGTTCACTTTATATTTTTAGATGAATATGATTTTTATGTTATATGTGAGAAATTGTATTGGTAATATAAAAATATATATAGTTTGTTTTGAATTATTAATTATTTATGAATAGATAAAATATATATTTTAGTTTTTAATAATATTTATAAAGAATCGTTCCAACTAAAAATATTAAATGAACAAACCAGATTTATGTGTTGTTTGTTATTATACGATGTTGTTGAAGGAAATTTTAAGTAAATTACCTGGGGAAGGGGCAATGCCGACAACAAGTCGATCCAAAAGCCCTTTTGGAGATATCTCGAAGCGATCTTTTGGGGGTCGATAACCAGCTCGCCTCTCCCGACTATGCGCGAAGACGGGGCGACATAAGCGGTTCTAAATTGGACGAAGATATTGGTCATATAAAGCGCGTCTATGACGGAACGGATTATAGTGAGCGCGATCTTGAGGGATTCGCTTGCTTGCATGCATCCCTCATCCTCGATGCTCGGCAAGAAAAAGAAGAGGGGATCGATGAAGAGGGAGGCAAGGCATGCAAGTAGAAAGCATTTGTTCCATCGGCTAACGATAAGGCCTCGGGGATCTAATATCTTCTTCCTCAAGCTCTCGAAGTCCTCCGAGAACACTCTCGAAAGCTTCTTGTTTTGGATTTCTTGAATTGGTTTAGTCGATCCTTTCTCTTTCGTCGATGTGAGGTTTGGCGATGGATCCGCGGCTTCGAGGTCGCTTCTAAATCTGCTGTATTTGAATTTTTAGCCAATTGTTTGGATTCTGTAAAAGCTCGTCCGATAAACTAACTTATGTTGCAATTCCACGATGTATTAGTTTGGTTATGTTTGATTTCCTAAAAGCTCGTTCGATGAACTAACTTTTGTTTGAACATAATTAGAGTTGTTAAACGAGATGAACGGAGAAAATTTGTTACTCGAGCTTGAGCCAAACATATTATCAATACAAACTCAACTCTGGCTGGTTTAAGATTCGAGCTAAATTGGTTAGTTGAATTGATTCAAAAATTGAATATATCAGTTAAACATAAAATAATTTTTTTATTATATTTTATTACTTAAATATAAATTTATATATATTATATTAATATATAAAACGATACAAAATACAATATCACTGACGAGTTTAATTAAGACGGTTAGTTTGCTCGGCTTATTTATAAAAATAATATTTTCTTGAGGTTGGTTCATCAATCTCTGCGAATGAATTGAGTTGTCAATGAGTCAAGTTGAGTCTGTTTGGAAGGTTTAAATCTTCGATATGAGATTTAAATAGTAATTTTTTTTTTAATTATGATAATTATATAATATAATATTAATAAGTTGTGATATTTTGAATGTAAAATTAATTTATAATATAATATAAAAAAATATTTAATTTAATGTTTTTAGAGAAAAAAAATTTGATAAATAGTAAAAAATTTAAAAAATTATACAAAAGAACACAAGATTCAATTTTACTTTTTACACAATTTTATTAAATTTAAACTTAATCCTTTTTTTCTTTTTCAATTGTAGGATCTATAATTTTTTTTTATAAAAACATATTATTCATTTTTATAAAATATTGTGTATTTGTTTAGTAAAATTATTTGAAGCAAAAATATTTTTTCTTTACATAAAATATAGGGAATAGTATAAAAAATATAAACTTTTGAATGTTTTGAAAATTTGAAAATAAAATATATATATATATATAATATTTTATAAGAATAAAAATATACTCCCTCCGTCCCAATAGAGTTGTCTTGTTTTTCCATTTTCATCTGTCCTAAAGCAAAACAATTGTCTTGTTTTCTTATTTAGTAATTATGGTCTCCACTTTATAACAAAATTATTCTTACATTTCCAAACTATCACTAATTATTACTCTAATATATTTTTTAAAATCATTCAAAAAGTAAAAGTATTTTAGTTTTTTACCTTCTATTTTACGCCAACTTCCAATTAAATACTATTATTCTTTTATTTTCTCGTGTCCACTCCCAATAAAATATTTTTTTTTTGAGACGGAGGAAGTATTTTATTCAAAATAAAATATATTTTTTTGAGACGGAGAAAGTATTTTATTCAAAATTCTTAAAAATTTTAAATAGTATCAAAGCATACAAGATTATTGTAATATTCCAATAACATGTTCAAAGAAACACACCAATCTAAATTGAGAACCCAACATACCTTACAGATTTGGAGGCTGTCCCCATACCTACTGCAAGTAGCATATCATATGATTGAAGTAACTATTATTGGAATTATATTGGTCTATATATATATATATATATATATACACAGTAGCAACAAAATTCCAGGAAAAAGACAGGGAAAGGTATACATACAGCAATAACATTATTATTTAGTGCTTATCAATACGAATCCCTAAAAATATTGTTCAATGAAAATACAATATATAGTATATAATGTACGTATGCATCAATATACACACACCAAACATCTTTCTTGGTGTGTTTCTTTTCATGAGTTTGGAAAAAAAAATTGGGTTGAATTTGGTATGAAAATAATATTTGATGGGATATTTTGTGAGAGAAAAAAATGTATTTTTTTCTTTCGGAAAACGCAGAGTCCAAATAGTAAAATTTGGGAAAAATTGACTAAAAAAACATAACCTATCGTACTTTTACAATTCTCCATATCTATAGTCACTAACTCTAAAAATATAACTAAAAAAATACTATACTCCCTCCGTCCATGAAAAGGTTGTCATTTTTCATTTTGTCCGTCTCAAAACAAGATTACCATTCCTTAATTTAGTAATTATACTACCTACCTAACATAATAAATACCCTTCCAACTTCAAATATATTACACAAATATCATTACTTTTATATTACACAATACTAATAGGGGTATTTTCGTCTTTTTTACTATAACTCATTATAATCCTAATATTAAAAAATCTACGTAAATGACAACCTTGCACCAGGACGAAGGGAGTATATTCCATTGTAAAAAAAATTACACCCTCCGTCCCATAACAAAGTATTCATTTTTCCCATTTAGTCCGTCCCATAACAAAGTATCCTTTTCCTTTTTTTTTAGTAACTATACTATCTACCAAACATTACAAATACCCTTACAACTTACAATATACTACACAAATATCATTATATTTATATCACACATACTAATAAGGTTATTTTAGTCATTTCTACTTTATTCCTACTATATCCCGATATAATACTAATATTTTTAAAACTACGTACAAAAAGTAAATGAATACTTAGTTTCCGGGATAAGTAATAGTTGTTTGAACCAAAAAAACTAAAAAATAAATAGTATAAAATGGGATAAGTAAAATGAAGATATTATAATATATATATATTGAAAAATGAACAAAATTTAATAGAAATAAGTAAAAAAAAAAAAAAGTTATCTACTATAAATTGGATTAGACATAAATTTAACAGATAATAATAATAAAAAATAAAAATCCGGAGAGAGTATAATATATAATATACATATACAAAACAACAAATACACAACATCATTCCTAATAATATTTTAACAATTCTCCGTACCTCACACCACACCACAGACACCTAAAATTATAAACACTAGACAAACACGCCAGAAGAACCTCTAACTTTTCTAAAGCACATAAAATAAATGTGACACAAACACAAAGTACATAATCTGGGATTCAAATTCTGGTAAATGACAAAAAATGGAATTCTGGAAACTCAAGTAGACACAAACCACAGTATTAGCACACTATATGATCCATAGCATTGGCAGATTCATCATCAAACAATCAACAAACAATTTTCATTTCCTATTTGGATCACAGGTTTCGCATAAATGTGAAAAAGATCGATAAACATATAGATGCATAGGTTTTAAATCATCAAGTGTGGCGATGATGGTTCGAGTGTGTGCTAGTGTTGATACCGTTCTTCTAACCGTTTGTATCTGGCTATCAGTCGCCAGGAAAATTGTTGCCACTCTTGATATTTCTGATACAAGAGTCGGAAACAAGTTTAGAGCTTTCTACGCCAAATTTATATGGAAATGAGAAAGTTAGAAGAAGTGTACCTGGAAGAACTCATTAGGAGGATGTTGGACAAGTTTGCGTTCAGAATTGACGCATGGGACGGGCTTCAGCAGGGCTAACTCGAATCGATCTGCCATTAAGGTCCTGTCCGAGAAATTTCAATGTCATATGGATAAGCCAGGCATAGTGATTGGGTTATTAAGCAAGATACATAAATTTAGCCAAAATTGCTTATAAAGGTCAAGAAAGTGTATAAGATTCCCTCGTATTTTAAAAAATATTGGACAGAATCCCAAAAAAATTGCACAAGTGCAATATTTTGGAAAACACAAGAAAGCTTCATGTAGTTCTTAAATGTGAAAAGGGTTGATTTCATCGTAGTTAAGAAAATCAAGAACAATTCGATGATTAACAAAATATAATCGAAACTAGGCATGCAATGAACAATAAAGGTCTAAAACTAATATCGTCGGAATCATATTTTTATAGGCGGATGTGGATACTTACCATGCCATCCAAAACTTCGATAGCATTTGTGACCTCTTCAGGTGAGCTGTAGGTTACGAAACCGAACCCCCTCGATCTACCACTCTCCTTGTCATAAACCACCCGGGCTTCCTTAACCTTCCCTTGCTCACTAAACAATGTCTCGAGAGCAAGATTGTCGACACCCCATGCCAAATTACCCACATAAAGTTTGTTGGCGTCATCGAAACTTGTTCTTTCCCTCCCCCTAGCACCTCCTCCTCCTCCTCCTCCTCCTCCACCTCGGAATGGAGATCTTTCCCTATCCCTCTTGGAAGGCGGCGGGCCGGAATTCACTCTCAAAGGTCTGCCCTCAAGTTCCTGTAAAAACATCATCAACCATAAATTCCAAATGACATAATCATACCATAGATACGATGCCTAGAGCTGTTAATGAGCCGAACTAACTCAGTACTAGTTCGTTAAGAAATACAAGTTAAAATTTTTATTTAAATTTGGCTCTTCTAAACAATTTTTGTGTTAGTGTTTAGTTCAACTCGGCTCGTTAAGAAATACTTTGTGTTTTTTTTCCTTTTATATTTGACTTAAATTTAAACTCAATTAATAATACTACCTTCGTCCTAATAAAAGAGTAACATTTGCACGTAGATTTTTTAATATTAGTATTATATTAGATTATAGTGAAAAAGACAAAAATATCCATATTAGTATTGTGTAATAAAAAAACGACGACATTTATATAATATATTGAAAGTTGTAAGAATAATTATTATGTTAAGTAATAGTATTGTTGCTATGTTAAAAAAACAGTATTTTTGTTTTAGGATGGACAAAAATAAAAAATATAACCCTTCTTTATGGGAAGGAGGGACGGAGGGAGTAATAATAATTATTATTACTTATTAATAAATTTATGTAAAAAACATATACATATAAAAATCTTAGTTTCATTTTTTAATGAATAGTATCAAATGTAGGCAAACAAGCTCAAACTCCTTAATAAACATAATGTTTTAATTCGACTCGTTTAGCTAGTGACGAGCTTCAAACGAGACGAACCGAGCTTGCAACAGTTACTTTGTTTGACAGCCCTAGTGATGCTATAAACTAAACCAGGAAGAACACTTTATAAGGTTCAAAACTAATGAGCTATTCAGGGAGTGATGGAGATGGAAATTTACATATTCGTTGAATTTTTTAGCAGCAGCTTCAACTTCTTCCACTGTTGACATGGTCACAAAACCAAAGCCTCTACTTCTCCCAGTGAACTTGTCATATATAACCTGGAATGTTCAATACTCAGTAATTCAAGTAATAAACTGCAAAATATATGCACAATTGAAATCCTTGCAGTAAAAATAAGTACCAAAAAACGACTAAATGTGTGCCAAAAATCACATCGCAATTCGCAGCAGATTGAAATTATTAGAAAATCGAAATAATGGAAAATTTTGGCTCACCTCAACCATCTCAACGGTTCCAGCCTCTCCAAACAGGTCGGCGAGCGCAGCACTATCGACGCTAAACGGTAAATTCCCCACAAAAAGCTTTAACTCCGGCGAGAAATCCACCGGTCCCTGGCCGGAAAAATCGAGGCCTTCGTCGTCACCAGATTCCTCAACCTCTTCTTCTACTCCAGAAGAGAACGCGACGTTCCGAATAAACCTAGAATTGAGGCGTTCGTAGTAACTACCGACGGAACGCAGAGAAATCTCGAGTTTCGGCAGAGGTTTGGGGGAAAACGGAGTACGGATAGCAGAGAGAGACGCCGCGCCGGAGGAGGGGGAGCCGTGGAGGGAGAGCGACTGTGGGATTGAGAAGTGGATTGAAGCGGAAGCGGCCATTGGAGCTGGAGATGGAGCTGGAACTGGGAGTGAAAAGGGATAAGGTTTTGCTCAGTCGGGAATGGGGTTTTGTAGATTTTTATAGATATCTTCCATTTTGATTTATTTTTCCTTTTTTCTAAAAATGATTTTTGTGCAGAAATCCCCCGACTCATATAAAATCACAGACAAGTCCCCGTTTACATGAAATTTGAATTTCAATTTAAACGCCAATAAAAATATATTATTATGATCACAAAATATAATATTAAAATTATTTAAATAAAAATTCAAATTAATCTTATTTTAAATTAATTTTAAATTTAACCAAACAAACCACCGTAAATCGTGTAACTATATAACACTTATAGTTGAGTTTACAAATTATTCCCCCCGTCCCATATACAGGGTCTGTAGACACGTATTTTAAGAAGGGTATAATTAGTAGTTATTTAATAATATATTAGTAAAAATAATTATATTATAATATAAATAATTATAAATTAATATTTAGATAACTAATTAGTTTAATTAAAATTTAAAAAAATAAATTAAAAAATTTAAAATGAAATTAAAGTGTGTAATAATTTTCCAGAAAAGAAAAATGACATAGAATATGGGACGGACATAAACGACAACATAGACATGGTACGTGGGACAGATGGAATATTAATTAACCTATTAGGTTCAGCTTGAGTTTACAAAATATACTCAAAATGTAACTACTATAAATTTCACATTATAAAAATAAAAAATATACATATATATATATACAATGAAGTGTTATAATATAATTTATTCTAAAATTAATTTCGAATGTATTTCGGACTCTACTCTCTATTTTTTTTATAAAATTATTTTATATCAATTATAATAAATATTTATTTATTTATTTATTTATGGTGTATCGAAATTTATTTTAGAGTACAAGATAATATTCATATTGTATGTATTTTGTTAATCCAATTTATTTTTGGAGGACATAATTTCTATATATAGTATAAAAATACAATATATATATTACCACAATATATACAAACATAATAATTCAATACAAAATATTAATATTTTTTATATTACTAACATTAAAAAAAAAAAATTCATAATTTGAAAATTTAGAAGAATTCTAAAAAATAAATAAATAAATATTTAACATGATATATTATGAAAAGAAATAATTATTGATGTATTTTTATTTATTTATTTGTTTTTCTTTTTGTTAAATAATATCATAACTTTCAAGTTATCTATGTAAGTTTATTGAAAGTAATACTCTATCTGTTTCAATATAATAATCTTATTTATCACTTTTGTCCGTCCAAAAGCAATAGTCTCATTTCCATAAATAACTATATCACCGTAAAACTATTCCTATTTTTTCATTATTACTACACAATTGCCACTACTTTTTACATTAATATAGTCACAAGGGCAAATATGTCATTTATTCTTACTTTTTATCTACTACTAATATAATATCAGTATTCCTTAAATCTCGTACCCAACACAATAAGAATATACTTTTGGACGAATGGAATATTTATTTATATTACAAAGCATCATTGTTATTCAAAACTTTCACTATTGAAATATAATTACACAAACCCTACAATTTTTATTTGATTAATAATTCAATGTGAACTTATAAATTCCAAATACATACTCCCTCCGTTCCACCACACTTGATACTATTTTCATTTTTGTCTGTCCTATTACAATTGACACCTTTCTATTTTTGATAAAAATTATTAAATCAAAACATATCTAACAAATATAAATCAACTTAATTAACTACATAACATACAACATGATAAATGACGTAAGACCTACTTAAAACCCCTTTATTTCTACCTCTTTCCTAAAAAAAATAAATATTTTTATCTATATTTAAAACTACACATCTTTTATAAAATTGATTTATGTTAATTATAAATAAACAAAAATCTTTTTTTTATTTACTTGTATTATAGAAAATTTTATTCTCTACAAAATGATATCCATATTGCATGTATTTTTTAATTGCTATATAACTTTTAAATATTTAAACATATATTTTTAATTTTTTTAATTATATATATTAAATTTACTTTAAAAATATAAATATTATTAATTATTAAAAAAATAATATCATAATATCATAACTAATTATTATTAACTAATTAAACATCATCGCCTTAAATACTGTGTTCCTAATCAAAGGATTCAACTCCGGTGGGACGGAGGGAGTATATCAATACTATGTTTAGATACATATTTTGTAAGTTTTGAACCTATTTCTCAATATTTAAATATATATAGCAAGTCAAAAAATATTTTATTTTACAAATATCAATTTAAATTATATTTTTTTGTTATTTTTAAAAAATATTTAGAAAATTCAAAAAACCCTATCTATCGGAATGATATGAAAACAAATATGCTACGACGTTAAATAAATAAAAAAATACGTTGTCAACTGTCAATTCATAATTTTAGTTGTAATAGTATGTTTTGCGTGAAACTAATGTAATACTTCCTCCGTCCCCAAATATAATATTATGCTTATTATCGATAATAGAATTTAAGTTAACAAGAAATAATTTAAAATATATTATTAAAAATATTTACAGTATAAAAAATAATTATAATAAAAACCTTAATATGATATGTGAGACAAAGATATATGAAAAAAAAAAATTGATGGAAGCACTTAGGGCCTGTTTGATTAGTTTAAAAAATAATGAGAAGTCAAAAGCAAAACAGAAATAGAAGTTAGAACTAAAAACACAGAAGCAGTTCGATCATGTGTTTTGGATGAATCATTATAAAATCAGTTTTTTATAAAAAAATTTGTTTGGATATAATAAAGTTAAAAATATTTTTAAACGGTTAAAATTACTCAAATGACATACGGCTAATATAATTGTATTTTTCTATAAAAATTATATATATGATTTTTTAATTATATTTAAATATTTTAAATAAAAGTATAGAAAATATATTTTTAAAATTTAATTATTTATATTTTAAATTTTAATTTTAAAAGATATAAATTAAAAATAAAATTACAATGAGTATTAAATTATTTGTATTTTCTAATTTATTTTAAAATTTTATAACTTATAGTATTTAATAATTTTAGTATTATAATAATTTTAAATTTTAATTAAGTATGATATATAAATTAATATAATAATAGTTTTTTATTTTTTTAAAAATATAATATATAAATAATTATTTTTATAATATATTAGATTATAGTATTGTAGTTTATTATTATTATTATTAAAGATAAAACAGTAACTTTAGTTGAAAAATGTTTCTACTTATTTTAAAAGCCACTATTAGGCTCCGTTTGGATTGGTTATGTAAAGTATTTTTGACTTCTACTTCTAAAAAAAATATTTTATCCTATTTGTATTAGCATTTTTTGAAAAATAGAAGCAACTTTTAGGCTCGAAAAATGCTTTTTTGAGAAACACTTGAGAGGGTGCTACTGAAAAAACAGTTTTATTATCTAAATTATAATTTTAACAATAATAATAATAATAATAATAATAATAATAAATTAAAGAATAAAATACAAAATTCATTTATATAAAATTTAAATATAATTTTATTTTAATTATTAATTTATATATTTTATTTTAATTAAATTTAAAATTTATAAGTAAAAATATCAAAATTTAAAAATATAAATTTTAGTTATATAGTAGATAATATAATATTTTTAAATATAATTTATAAAGTTTTAAAATAACTTGTAGAATAATATTATTTAAATTTAGTTATATTTTTAATTTTCATTTAAAAAAAAGAAAAATACAAATATAGTTTATACATGAAATTTAATAAATATATTTTCAAGTAGTTTAGATAATTAAAATTTTAAAAAATATAATTAATAAAATACAATAAATAAATTAGAAAATTTTAATAAATAATATACTATTTATATTACTATGTCCTATTGGTAACTTTAGGAGTTTAAAAGCACTTTTAATTTTATTATATTTAATTTTTTTTTTATAAAAATATGTTTTTTAATTATTCATCCAAACATAAAATCGAACTGCTTTGCTTTTGGTTTCTACTTCTACTTTTGACTTATGCTTATTTTTTTAAGTTAATCCAAATAGGTCTTTACTGTGCTTTTTAAAACACCTTTCGGCCTTAAAAGTTGCTTCTGTTTTTGAACAAAAGTCAATGCAAACAGGTACAAAGTGCTTATTTTAGAAATAGAAGCCAAAAACAGCTGTCAAAAGTCCAAACGGAGCCTTAATTCTCCAATCAACACACATGCAAATAAGTTACTCTCTCCGCCCCACATAAATTGTCCACATTTTTCATTTTTGTCTCCACATAATTTGTCATTTTTTAAAATATAATTATACATTCTAATCACATTTTAAATTTCATAATTTATAATTTTTATTATTGATTATATTATTTAATTATCTTAATTTTAATTTATAATTATTTTACTAACACATTTCTTAATTAGTTACTAATTATACTTTATATAAATTCCCGTATTTACATATGGAAAATTTATCCGAGACAAAAATAGTATATAACACAGGCATGCAACACATAATGTGTGAAATAAAATAATGTGCTTTTTATTTATATTAATACTTGTATTGTAGATAAGAATATTACGTGCTAAAATCGACTTCTCCTATTTCAACAAATAAAATATTGTCATATAAGAGAGAATGTTAATACAACTTGTATATTTTTTAACTATAATTTTATTATTACTTTATAATTTATATTCAAATAATAATTTTACAAAAATTATAAAGTAATAATAAAAAAATAATATAAATTGAATTAAATTTTAATATAATTTTCATTTATATTTTAGAATAAAAAATTTAATAAATAATAAAATAGAAATATAAAAATCATAACATTTAATTATTTTTTCATAAAATAATATACTACATTAGCATATTATAAAATTTGAATTAAATGTTAAATAAAAAAATTAAATTGTTTATATAATATTTTATCATAAAATTGTGTTTAAACAATATTTAAATATTATATTTTTTAAAAAAATATTATTAATATATCTTTTATGATAATACAATATAATAAAAATTAGGATATAAAAAATATTGAGTTAAATTTAATTTAAAATATTTTTTTTAAAAAAAAAACTGATAAATAATAGAATTATAGTTAAAATATATATATAAGTTTTATTAATATTCTTTCTCACATGACAATGTTTTATTAGTTGAAATGATAGCATTTGATTGGGGCAACAGAGGGAATAGGAGAAAATGTAACAAATTGTATTGAATTTTTTAATTATAACATATTAATTGTTTTTATATTATATATATATATATTATTAAATTGTATTAAATTTTATAATTCAACATAGTAAAGCTTATGCTCTCTCTGTTCTACATAATTTTTTTTTATTTTTTATTTTTGTCCGTTTCACATAAATTGTTATTTTTTTGGAAATATAATTATGTACTTTAATTGCATTTTAAATTTTATAATTTTATAATTTTAATTAAACTATTTAATTATTTTTACTAAATAATACTCCATCTGTGCAAACACCCTGCAACATTTTCTTTTTTATTGTCACAAACTGACCGCAACATTTCCAAATTTAGAAATAATTAATAATATTTATATACATATATTAATATATACTTCACTTTATTTCATCACATCACTCAAATAATAAAAATTAAATAATCATTTCTCTCTCCAATCACGTCACTTACTGTTTAAATTATCTCAAATTACCGTACTTACACACCGTTTGAATTGGCTTCTGGCAGGAGCTTTTGCTTCTACTTTTAAAAAAAGCAGTTTGCAACTATTTGCATTGGCTTCTATCCCTTTTAAAGCTGAAAAATATTTTTTTTCAAAAGCACATTGGGGTAGCTTTTGAAATAAGCAGAAGCTTTAAAATTACTTTTTATCTTTAATAATAATAATAATAAATACAATAATATAATATAATATAATATAAAAATAAATAACTTATATGTTATATTTTAAACAAATTAAAAAATATAATTAATTTATGTATTATATTTGGATTAAAATTTAAAATTTAAATACCGAATGTAAATAGGAGTATATAAATTTTATAATTATACTTAAATTACTAAATATAATTTATAAAATTTTAAAATAAATTATAAAATACAAATTATATAATATTATACTGTAATTTTATATTTAATTTATATATTATCCTTAAATTTAAATTTTAAAATATAAATAATCAAAATTTAAAATTAAATTTTTTATACTTTAATTTAAAATCTTTAAATATAATTTATAAAATTTAAATTAAATAATAAAAGTGTTATAGAAAAATATTAGTATTATATTAACCACATGTCTTTTATAAGTAATTTTCACAGTTTAAAAAGCACTTTCAACTATATAACGCCTAAACAATTTTTTTACGAAAAGCTGTTTTTATAATGATTTATCCAAACACAAAATCGAACTGTTTCTACTTTTTAATTATTTTTACTATTATATTTATTGGAACTGAGGGTGCACTAGCTTAGTCAAAATTCGATAAGTAATTGAAGGGGAAGTCTATAAATTTTTTACTATTTGTTAAATATTTACTTAAAAAAAATAAATGAAATCAATAATTATTATTTTTATTTATTATATTATATTAGATTAGAATATAATTAAACTATATTCATATTATATAAAACAATACTAACTGTGCATTGGAAACTAATTTTACTGTTTTCAACCAACAATACAGATTCCTCCAATTTCCCCTTCCTGGAGATGTCTTTTGATCTTGAAGTTGGATCATCCATTTTCGAACAGATAGATACACCAACTGTCCAGTGATTGTGATTGTGACTTTGATATACATGCAACTCATCAATTCTTACTTCCGTAGCTCTCCCACCTCACTTCTTTATTCATATCTACAGTTTTCCCTTTTAAGTATGTATTATTATTCCAACGGGAGGTCGCTGTCTTCAAGGTCCCTTGATCTCAGCGGTAAGCGGAAATGGTGGAGACTGCTGCCACTTATTGAAAGTTCCTAACAATATATGCTATTTTTGCTTGCTGTGTCACTGTTTACACCTTAATTTCTGCTTATTCGTTGCTAATCGGATTCAGATCCAGCTCAGGGCGTGGTGAATTGCATGTTTTGTGTGTTTTTTGAGGGATTTTTTTGTTGAACTGAGATCTTCGTGATTGGTTAGGGTTTTTTTGGATTTCGGGATTGGTTGGTGATTTTATTTTTAGGAATGATTGCGACGGGAAGATCTATTTGGTCTGAAGTGTGGTGGTGTTTGACATTAGTTGAATTTCATCTTCTGATGCAAATTGCCATTATTAAGTTGTTGGTGTTCGTTTTGTCTGTTATTTATTATGCTGTATGACTTTAAATTGACGAATAATTGCTTTAAATTCTCTACCCATTTTTCTCTTTTGCTTCAGTTAAAAGTGTAGTTTATGCTGAATTTTAGCTTGGTCTGATCTTCAATTATAAACTCCTTTGGGTTTTGTTGATTTCTTGTGGAAGATGATTTCAATTTGTTGGATAACTTGGTAATATGTGTTGGTGGATTTGGATAGGCTATTTCTTAAACATATATATATATATATAGGAAGTTATTTTCGGTATATAGTTGAGTTCCAGCTGCCGACTTAGATGCAAACAGGAACTTTCGTAGATTTGTTTGATATGAATTCATTAATTCCACCAATGATGATCAAACATTCAAGAGTCTAGATATATTGCTATTTTTAATTTTTTGTCATAGTAAAACATGTTTACGGCACTCAAAATTTGTATACATCCGAAGCTTACTAGATTTCATGTTTGCTTATGTATCCTTCTTTATTGCTTCAGGTTGATAAAGTGCAGCACCGCAAAGAAGTGTTTCATCTCTTTGTATCCTCTCAGGATGTGTATATACATGAAAATAATGCATTAAGTTAATCTTGGTGTGTAGTGGCGCAGGAGTTCGATTCAGTAATAAATCTTGATCATTTTCCCGGCAGCGATGAAGATCCTATTGTATAATTTGACTTCCTTAGATCTGGAAATTAAGCTTTGTCGTTAAGAAGATCCTAATTGGAGGATAAAAATTCTCGAGGTCTGCCGTTATCTACAAGCATGAAGATCTGATAGTATAAAACTCATTGAATCTGGGTAATTAAGCTTTGTCGTTAAGAACATACTAGTCGGAGCATTAATAATCTCAACGTACCACCATTATCTACTAGCATCATGCTACCTAACAACACTGGAAGTGGGAAGAATGATACATGAGATAAATTATATACGGGTTTCCTGTACGATGTGTGAGTTTTATTGTTTGGTTTCTTTCCAATAACCAGAGGCTTCCTAAGTACTCTAGCCTGATCATAGAGAGGCAGAAGATATTGAACAGTTGATCTTGATTGTGCCACAGTATTGTGCAGCTTCTTGAAAGTATCTACTACAACTATGCTGCACTTTTACTTCGAATGCTATGAATAAAATAGAATCTGAGATTTTGATAACTAGTCGTCATCCAAGCACCATGGAGCGGGTGCTCTCTGCTGTTGGACCTGTACTTTGGATCGCCATGAGCTATGTAGACCCTGGGAAATGGGCCGCAGCTGTGGAGGGGGGTGCTCGGTTTGGGTTTGACTTGGCTTTGCTTGTACTTTTTGTAAATTTTTCTGCTATGTTATGCCAGTACCTCTCTGCCCTCATACCCGTAGCCACTGGCCGTAATCTTTCACAGGTGGTTATTGTTTTTAACTGGTCCTTTCTTTATGATATGCATTATGTATGTTCGCCTGTTTCTAGTTCCATTTTGAACCATTAACTGTTCCTTTCGTTTGATGTTCTTCTAGTTACATAGGCACTGAGTTTTACTTGATGGTTATATAGATCTGCAGGCAGGAATATGATGACGCGACATGCTTGCTTTTAGGAATACATGCAGAGATATCAATGATTATTGTAGATCTCACAATGGTAATTGTTTGATTTAAGAGATGTTAATGGATTGGCGGTATGTGCTCGCTCCTCAACTGATTCTTGATATGGTTGTTTTGGTAGGTTCTGGGTACTGCTTATGGGCTGCATGCTGCCTTTGGAATCGACTTATTTAATTGTGTCTTTTTGACTGGCTTTGAAGCTGTTCTGTTTCCATTTTTCAATATCCTCCTTGTAAGTGTATAACCGCTGATTGCCACGAATTGTTTTTACATTTTTCACAAATATTATTTGCAGATCAGAGGGTGTATTGCTTATATGGTGCTATTTCTTGCTCCTAGGAAAATACTAAAGCGAAGACCGTCTCCGTATGCCTGGCATGCTTTATATTTGGAACTTATGTTTCTGGAGCTCTAATAACTCAACCAGAAAGCTCACTTTCTGTCAGTCGGATGCTTAATAAGCTTACGGGGGAAAATGTCTATGCATTAATGAGTATAGTTGGAGCAAATATTACACCCCATAACTTTTACTTGCATTCTTCAATTGTACAGGTCTCTACTCTCTTACTACCACATAGTCAGTCACTTTCTGTTATGGTTTCTATCTTCTGGTTCTGAAAATTCATCAGCTAATTCGACAATTTAATATCTATAATTTTACTTTATTGATCTTTTGAGTTGTTTTGATGATTTTTATCAACTTACCTGGCTTGACCTGATTAACTTTGTTCAAACATATTTCCCCATGTTTCGAATGCCAATTTTCATCCACTTTCTGTTTTGATAATGTTTGTAAAACTTTTGTTTTCATAGTTTGTGAGTTGCGACATCTGATTATTGTCCTTCAATTCCTTTGCAGCAAGATCAGGGGCAAGCTAGGACTGCTAAAGGGGTAGTATGCCGCGATCTTTTTTTTGCCACTTGTTGCATTTTTAGCGGCATTTTCCTAGTGAACTGTATGCTCATGAACTCTGCAGCTAATGTGTTCTATAGTAGCGGACTCACTTCACTCACCGTACAAGATGCACTGTCATTGTTTGATCAGGTTGGTGTTGGATGAGATCAATTTTGATTTATCAAAATGCCAGTAACAATAAGAACTTCCCCATGGTGATGCAGGGATTCAGGAGCTCAGTTGCTTCGGTTCCGTTAATACTCATTGTATTTTTTTCCAACCAGCTCGTGGCAGTGACATGGAGTCTTGAAAGAGAAGAGATCATCCAAGACTTCTTTGGGTTGGAGATTCCTGGTTGGCTTCACCGAGCTACAATCAGAATAATTGCAATCATTCCAGCTCTATTTTGTGTTTGGAATTCGGGAGGTGAAGGTATATTCCAATTCCTGATATTTACACAGGTCTTGGTAGCTCTTTTACTCCCTTCTTCGATCATCCCTCTTTTCCAAGTTGCTTCTTCCAGACCAATTATGGGTGCCTACAAAATTTCACATCCGGTGCAATTCTTGGCTATAGTGATCTTTGTCGGGATGTTGGGACTAAATATCTTTTTCGTTATAGAATTGGTATTTGGAAGCAGCGACTGGGTTACAAGTTTAAAGTGGAACATCGGTAGTGATGTGCCTGTTTTGTACCTTATTCTTCTTATGGCTGCTTTTACCTCCCAGCGTTTGATGCTTTGGCTTGCTACAACTCCATTGAAATCTGCACGGTGGAGGTTAGATTCTCGGGCATTCAAAAGGGGGAATAGATATGCAGGGATTGATTCGATTTCTGTAACTGAAGACCCTACTGGAACCACTCAAAATCAGTATAAATTGGTGGCTGGATCATCATCATCCAAGAAATCCGAGATCTTATCTTGTTCGTCACTTGCAGCAGCCATTCCGGAGTTTTTACCTGAATCCAGAAAGGTTGATGAAAAAGCTGATTTTTCAAAGCTTGAAGTAATGATTAAGGACATATCCGATAGTGGCCGGTCTCTGAGATCTGAAGATCCGAAATCATTAAAATGTTCTAGCAGAAAAGGTGATGATGTAGGAAGTGGTGCAGGCAGTGTGTCTAGATTTTCTGGATTAAGCTGTGCTGCACGACACCAGTTAACTGCAGTCCTCGATGAATTCTGGGGACACCTCTTCGATTTCCATGGTCAACCAACACATGAAGCTAAGGTTAAGAAACTGGATGCATTACTTGGGATCGATGTCAAAAGTATTCGTAAAGAATCGAGTCGATATATCCCTTCGGCCATCTACAATGGTTCATTGCAGCAAATTGGTCAGCACCACTCTGCAACACCTTGTTCATTGGGGCCATCGATGAAACCTAACTACGTGCACTTTCTAGATCTGTATGTCGAGAATTTGAGCTGCAGTGCTATCGACTCTGCTAGTGAGAGGCGCTATCACAGCATGTGTCTTTCGTCGTCATCTTATTACCGTGATCAGCAGCCGGCTACCATACCTGGTTGCGACATTGCTTCGTATCTGATCCGAGTAGCCAGAAAAAAGGCTTCCGGCTATCCCAAAAGTCAAATTGATTTGAACTCGACAGATGCATATAATCAATCATCGGGGAAAAAGCCAAGAAATAGACTATGCTCGCCTCCCGTTTTTCATAATATTTTGAAATCAGATAGATACTTTCGTGATCCTGGCTTTCCTAAGTCCACCTATTACAGAAATATCGAGATCAATGTGAAGAAATTTCGCAGCTTACCAAATGTCTCCGGACTCTTGACCTCTTTCGGAAGTTCTTGGGATCGTTCCTATGGCCTTCCAGCAGTCAAGAAAATGTGTTCCGGTTATTCTCCTTCAAAAGTTCGTCGAAATTCTTATTCGGCGAAATTCAGCTCCCATTCAAGCGCCACTTCACTATGGCCTACTCAGCCTCATGAACAATTCGGCGTCGCCGGAGAACTTCCTAAATATCAAGAATTTGCCTTGAGTATGAATACGGAAGCTAATCTTCTGAAGTTGTTCAGAAAGTGTACGATGAAACTCGTGAAAATTGAGGGCTCTGATTGGTTGTTCAGATCGAAAGATGGGGCTGACGAGGACCTCATCAGTCGAGTTGCTGCACGGGAGAGATTCTTCCACAAAATCGAAACTCTGACTTCACAACATAAATTTGGTTCTGCTATGCAAATTGATGACAGAGAACATCCCAAGTTCGTCTCTGTCCCAAACTGTGGAGACGGATGTGTTTGGCGTGTCGACATTATTACAAGCTTCGGAGTTTGGTGCATTCTCCGAATCCTGGAACTCGCCCTCGTTGAAAGCAGGCCGGAGCTTTGGGGGAGATACTCCTACTTACTCAATCGGCTTCAGGTAGTTATATTATGTCGTCTTCTTCACAAATAAGCAAAATTGCAATTTTTGAACGTTACGTAGTTTATGAGTTTGGTGTTTAAATAGACTCCGCGTGAAAATATTCTCTGTTTTCATAGGGTGTGTTTGTTTGGGGGTTTGAATTTTGAGTTGGAATTTGAATAGTAAAAATTTTGAATTTGAGTAGTTGTATAATATAAAAAATGAAAAATAATTATTTAATTTGATATATATATATATTTTTGAGAAAAAATGGAATTGAATAGTTTATTTAAAATTCAATCCCCAAACAAACGCACCTATAGAAGTTTTAAAATTCATTTTAGTTCTTTGACTGAGTCTGTAGCAAAGTAGTCCGGTAAATGAAAATTTTTTGATGTTTTAATGCTCCGACGCAGGAGATGCCTGCGTGGCTCGCGGGAGACCACGTGTCCGTAGGTCAGCAACGCTTGGTGGACACATGAATTTTTTTATTTATTATTTATAATTTTTTTTAATTTATTTAGTCTTTTTTAAAAAAAAAAAAAATTAGACAGAAATACAAAATATATAAATTTTATAAAAAAATTCACGTGTATGGCAAGTGTCACTGACCTGGTAAACATGTGGCCTCTGGCGAGCTATGCGGGTGCCACGCAGGCGTCTTCAATGCCCGAGGACTAAAACTGCAAAAAATTTTATGTTACAAGACTAAAATGATAAATGGTTCAATTACTTTAGAAAAATTAGATATTTAATTTGATATTTTGTGAAAAAATTATTTACGACCAAACCGAATTTCTTGCTAACACACACATGCTATGCTCATTTTGAAAATTTTCTTTCGTGTCTTATTAGGGGATTATCGATCTTGCTTTCTCGAAGCCTCGCGCAACATTGCCACCGTGCTTCTGCCTTCAGCTTCCGTCGGGATACGAGCAAAATTCAAGTTTGGAAAATGTGAACAGCAGCTTCTCAGCAGCAACGGTGGTGGCCATGATCGAAGATGTCGAAATTGCTCTGTCTCGTCGCAAGGATCGATCGAATGCAGAAGATGGCGACGACGTGGCTTTTCTTAAAGGGAAAGAGAAATTGGCTTTCGTTCTGAAACAATACAAGTGTCGTTTGTCGAGTAACCCGGCTGGTGTGTCTCCGGAAGATGCCGATGGATTGTGCCGAGGCTCGACTGAGCCGCCGCCGCCGCCGTCGTCGACGCGGTAGCTGTCAGTTTTTTGTGTCAGCTGGTGAAGATAAGAGTTATTGTTGATTTTTGAAGATGCAAAGGTTTGTGTTGTGAAATGCTCTCTACTTGTGTTTTGAGTTTGTGCTGTTGTATACTTAGGAGAGTCTAAGAGCAGTGAATTTGCAAAAGTTTTAAGACGAAGCTTTTGCAAAATATTGCTCGAAATGATGGATAAAAGATCATAACTTTTGGATTTTAATATTTTTTTTTTTATACTCCCTAAATATTAATTTTAAAAAAAATAATTATACATTAATATTAAATTATCTTTTAATTTTTATTTAAATAATAAATATATTATTATATATACAATTACTTATTAAAATTGAACATGTAACTACTTAATAATAGTATTAAATTATTTTAAAATTGGTTGATGGGTTCTTTGTTTCAGTTTTATTATTATTATTTTTTCTATCTTAATTATTTTTCTATTTTTTATTTTTAAATATGATTCATTTGTAATTTTGCATTTCTATTCCAAAAATAGTTAAAATGCCTATTATAACTAATTAATACATAATATATAGACTATCATGATATGATTTTAATTAATACAATATATTTTTTTTTGACCGCTTCTACGGGTTATATTTGTCGTCTGTATAATTTTTTATACAAATGTCTTTCTATTACTATTATAAATCATTAATGAAAATATTTTTGTAATTATTTTTTTTAATTTATACTACGCTTTATATAATAATTATTATTTAAATATCAACGCTCATAAGATAAATAATACGTTTAGAACCGGACATAGGTAATATATTATATAGATTTTTATCATGTATTTATAATTATATTCTTCGAGTGTACAATGGGTGAACTATTGTTATTTAGTGACAATATATATTATATTCGTACTTATGTGTGGTTGATTTATATTGTTGCGAACCTTGGCTGTTTGAGGTTTAACTCAATAAAAATAAATCACATTAATATTTTTTATATTTTATATTTTAATAAAAATTAATTTTATATTTAAAATATGGTCTAATTTATATAAAAAAAAAAAAATTTCATACTTTAGTACAAAAATAATAATGATATGTATGTATTAGTGTAGAACAGCTAATAGCCTAATATGTAGAAATGTTGATAACTACTGGATTAGTGACGCCATATCGTGTGGCGCAATTTAGCGGGCAGCGCGCGTGTCGGTTACTCGGTTACTTAATCCTCATTCATTGCGTGAGGATCATTCACACGTACCTCAAGCTCAAGCTCAAGCTCAAGCTCAAGCTCAGATACATACTTTCCTCCCGTCGACGACGAGTTTCAGTGCCAAACTTGTCCTCGCCTCTCTCGTCCTGCTTCCAGCGAACCTAAATCAATCAAGTAAGTAATATCGATTCGTCTTCTTTTTTAGGTACGCAGCTCAATCAATCGTATTGTTTCCAAATTAACACGATTCAGGAGCAGAATTGTTTCTGTGATTTTCTATTTAATTTCTTCTCAAATTAAGTAATATCGATTCGTCTTTTTTTTTTTTTTTTTAAATCGCAGCTTTTTTGGATTTTATTTATGTTACTTTTCTTCGATGATTCGGATGAGATTACTAGCGTTGATTTCAAATTCTTCAGCTCCAGAAATCGACAGGTCTTTGTTGAATACAGAAATTTCACACGGCTATTTCCTTTATCGTGACGTTTGTATTTGGAACCTAGAAAATTCCAACAGTTTTTGTCTGCAAATTTATAGATCATCCTGAAGAAACTTTAGTCACGGAAAAAAGCGTTCGATATACGCTTAATCGGCACTCGTTTTTTGCTGGTTGGATTAACATGCGTTGGTTTAGAAGATTCTATCAGCTTATTGGCAATTCTTTTTTTTTTTTTTAATTATTATTATTATTTTTTTAATTTTACCTGATAAGTATTGGAATGGACACTTATATATGGGCCAAGCCCATTATGTATATTTTTGGGCCTAAATTTTGTGTTTAATAAAAAAAAACTTTATATGTAATAAGTAGTGGTATATTTGAAATAGATAGATTAAAATATATTTTTTTCCTATATTTCATATATATATATATTATAGTGCTAAAATATTTGGGTATGATTTTAATAAAATTAGATAATAATTATTACTATTTTATTTTTTATAATAAAAAATATAAAAAAGGTAATTTATTTTTTTTACTTAAAAACATAAAAATAATTTTGACAATTCAAAATAGAAAGTGAAGTGAATGGTGGATTTGAACTGAACAAAAAAAATACATAGTGAAGTATATGCTTTCACATAGTATGTTTTAAATGAAATTCGATGTTACACACACATATTTATATATATATATATATGATATTTTAAATAAAAATGTAAATATTCAATATAAGTTCTTGTGAGGAAAAATTTTTTTTTACTAAAATACAAGTTTGTTTCTTTTCAGTTTGGATTGACCTCAGATATTTGAATTTTTAAAATAAATATAATATTTTTTAAGACCGTTAATCAAAAACTTGTGTAAAAAAAAAAATGATTTGGATTTAATATTAAAATAATATTTAATGAAATATTTTGTATGAAAAATATATGGTTCAAATAATCATAGTATTTAAAAAATTTTGTTAGGGAAACACACTTTATATGTTTAGTCACAATTATTTTTTAAATATTTCTATTATTTTGCAGGAAATTAAAAAGATTGGCGAACAATAAATAAAAATTATCGGGATCACTTAAAAACATTCGGAAACATATACATCGACTGATAATTTGATATACGTACGATGGGGTATGTGATTGTAATATCCTTACCGGTGATCCTTTTCTTCCTGATTACGGCCATTGCTTGTTACCTAGTCGGTAGGAATCGTGGTCGGAAAGAACGTTCCGGACTTCCTCAATATTACGGGCCTCCGCCTCCCGCTCCGCCTCCATCCTTACCTCTTTCCACCAAATAAATTTCGGTACAAGTTTTTTTTTTTTTTTAACATGTATTATATATACAAGGGCTACAATTACTATGTTGAATTTTTGTAATTGAATAAAGTGCTGACAATACATCATATTATGATAAACAATACTCCCTATGTCCTATAACAAAGTATCAATTTTTCCATTTTAGTCTGTCCCATAACAAAGTGTTCATTTTTTTTTTTTAAGTAACTATACTATCTACCTAACATTACAAATGCTCTTACAACTTACAATATATTATATAAATATTATTATTTTTATATCACATACTAATAAGGTTATTTTACTTATTTTCATTTTATTTTTACTAAATTTCAATATAATAATATTTATAAAACTACGTGCAAAAAGCAAATGAATATTTACTTTTGGGACGGAGAGAATACATGATATGATAATAGACAATACATAATTTATATTAATAGTATAATATAAATTTAGCTTATGAATTAATATGCCGTAATAGTCTACACATAATATACTATTATTATTGAACTTATTACAAAATTAAAATTTATGTCTATACTATTTGTAAATATATATATATATTTTAGATGTAATATCTATTTTATACACAAAATTTTATATTAATATATAATTTTTTAATATTTCTAAAATTTCAAAACTTTCAATTTTTATTTTTATTTTTTAATTTTTTATATGAGGTGAGAACAAAAACTTTCAATTCTCTTATTTTAAACAAGACCTTGAAGTAGCTTCTATTTGGACGTGCTAGTTTAAGTTCGATTCAGTCTGCTTATAATGTTGGTATACTAGCTTGACCCGGAGAGAGTTTGACCGGACTGGACCGGGCCTGCTATAATAATAGAAAATAGACCGGTCTAATCGTCTTTCTATATTTTTGGCCCACCCGGCCTGCTTCTCAAAGTTAATTGGACTGACCCCAAGGTGCAATTTTTATTTTATTTTTATTTTTCTTTATATGGCTTCAGTTTTTTGTTTTTGGTAAATTATAAACAACTATGTGTTTTATTTATGGCGTAAAATCTCTATTTGTTAATATAAAATTTACATAAAATACTTTCGTTGTCCAAAACTGATTTTTAATTCTAAATAAAAATTTAAATATATATATTTTATGCATTTTTATTAAAACTACTATATAATTTACCTTTTTGTTTTTATCATATTACTAGCCTATAACCCGTGTATGCACATGTTACAAGCTAGTTACCATAGTGTGTTTGTTTGGGGATTGGATTTTCAATCTACTATTCATCCCATTTTTTCCCTCCAAAAACATCAAATCAAACACCTATTTTTCATTTTTTATATTATACTAAAAATCAATTTTATATTCAAAACATCACATCACATCAACACCTATTTATATTACATCATACAACTATTTAAATTCAAAATTTTTAATATTCAAATCCCAACTCAAAATTCAAACCTCCGAACAAACACAATTTAAAACGGAGGGAGATCCGCGGCCCCAATAGAAGATTATCTTCATCGAATTCGTTGAACAAATTTTTGTATTCTTATTTTATTTTATTTTTCCTTAATTTCTACAATAATATTTTTGGACTGTAGAATATCATTATTATTATTATTATTATTATGTCCGACGCAGAGCTGCTTGTGGGAAGATTCGTATGCAAACAAAAATATAGAAATCAAAATATAAAATATTTTTTTTCAACAGATATTTAAATAAATATCAAAAAAAAATTTAATTAAAAGTTCATAAAAACAAAATTTGGAAAACAAAAAATAAACAAACAAAACTTTTAGAAAACTCTTAAAGTAATAATCCATTCTAACTAATATTAATTAAAAGCAATCATGGTTCTATTTCTTCTTCAATCATCTGGATCCAGTCCCTCGTACGTCCAAATATGTTTATTCTTTATATCTTGTTCTTCAGAGGGCGCCAAATCATTATTTATCCTAAAAACTTTTCTCACCCATGGCACACTTTTGTTTTTCATTAAGTCGGCTGATCTCTGACAAGCCTCGTCTAAAACCACTTGAACTCCCAAGTAATTTGCGGCCTCGGCAAGAGCAAGGAAATCATAGATATTACATTTGACAAAGAAATCATCGCATTGTTTTTTCTTTTCTTCATCAGTGAATTGCTGAAATGATTCTTCTAAGTACATGTTCAGAAAGTCAATTACCCTTTCAAGGGTTATTCCGTCGACTTTAGGGAGTGGGATTACGTCGATTTTGCCTTCTTCTTTGGGGAGTGAAATTATGTCATCTTTTTCTAAATCGAGTAAATTTGCAAGGAGCGATGATTGCATAACGATGGATTTGGAGACATTGAATTCTTTGCCATCATAACTTTTTAGAATTCTGAATTTCTCTTTATCTATGGTAGTCGCAAGAGGTGTTTCTATATCCATGATAGTTGAAGAAGAAGTCGACATTAAAGAACCTTATGTGTTTAATAATATTTTTAATAAACCTCCCTTTCCTTTGTGTATATATAGAAAATTAAGGATATGATTTATTAGATATGAATAGAAAGATAATTAAGATTATACAGTTTCAAATCATATCTGTCAAATCATATTTATTCTTTAGAATCGAATTTGATCTTTTTAATAAAATAATATATACAAAACTTAAAAGGTTTAAAAAAAAATTGATATGATATAAATAGATATTTTGAATTTAAATTATTTTTAATTTAATATGAAAAATAAAAGATAAATAGTATTTAATTTGATATATATTTTCTTTTTTAAAAAAAAAATCAATAATAAAAAATTGTAAAAACTCCTATAAAACACAACTCGGCAAACTAATGCTAATAAATTTTGCAAAATTTTGTGTAATATTTTATAGATTTTTATCACATTTATTACGTAAAAAAATGGTATATATACTATTTTATTTCTAAATTTTTATTTTTGATTAAAATAATATTTTAATATAATAATTTATGACAAGAACTTGGATATTTTTATTGAAAATTATAAAAATTGAATAATATTAATTTATATTTGAAATGCAAATCAAACATATGTATATTTTGAATATAAAATTAATTTTTAGTATAATAATAAATAAAGTAGATATTTAATTTAATATTTTTTTTAAAAAAAATTGATAAATAATATAAATTTTGAAAAGTTTGACATACAAACACAGTAAATTAGACTAAATACAAAAAGGCAATACGTTTTCAAATGAAATGGAATAGATATATGTCACTTGTTCTTTTTTCTGGTTATTTAGTATTCCTCCGACGTCCAATTGTGTGCTCATTTGATCGGGCACGAATTTTAGAAAAATATGTAAGAATAAAAATTTCTATTTTTTTTTTTTTAAAAAAAAGTGATATTTTTTTACTAAAAAATGAAGCGGTAATAAATTTGGATGACAATAAAAAAAGGAAAGTGAAAATAAATTTGAACGACGGAGAGAGTATTTGTTTTGAGGTCAATCTGTTTGTTTTGTAAGATAATTTGAATGAATGTTTTTTTCTACGTAAAATAAATTATGTAAAAAATATAAAAATAATGAGTATATGTGATATATTTATATTTTTGAGAAAATACGTAAATATAAAATGTTAAAAGAAAACACCAGTAGTGTGTCTGGTTTTTGTTATTTTTAGATAAAATAATTTTATTTATTTAATAGTATTTTATAAAAATAATAAATGTATAAATAAATATTTAATTGATAATTGTAGAAATATGTAACTAAATAGCATTTGTTTATTTAAAATTTAGTTTTATCTTTTAATTTGAAATTTTAATTTAAACTATAATTTAGTTATAATGTTCTACAAAATATCATAAAATTTATATAGCAAAAATATTTACACTAAACTCGAAATAAACAGAAAAACTGTTTTTTTTTTTTTTATGTGTGTGATATATATGCATTCGTTGAACACACATTTTAAAATTTTTTAATTATACAGTACTCCCTCCGTCTTAATACAATAGTCTTGTTTATTATTTTTCCAAAACAATAGTCTCATTTCCATAAATAATTATATCACTATAAAATTATTATTACTTTTTCATTTATTACACAATTGCCACTGCTTTTTACACTAATACACTCACAAGGGCAAAAATAGTTTTTACATTGTACTTTTTATCCACTACCAATATAATATCAATATTCATTAAATCACGTGTCAAACACAACTCATACTATAATTTTAGGACGGAGGGAGTATTAATTTTTATTTTAAAAATTTTAACAGCACTACTCACATAAAAAGTTAAATAAACTAATATTATAATTTTTTATTATTAATCCATTAAACTTTATTATACTCTCTCCGTCTCATAACAAAGTATCCATTTTTTCATTTTAGTCTGTCTCATAACAAAGTATTTATTTCCTTTTTTAAAGTAATTGTACTATCTACCTAACACTACAAATACCCTTACAACTTACAATATATTACACAAATGTCATTGCCTTTATATCACACATACTAATAACGTTATTTTAGTCATTTCTACTTTATTCCTACTATATCCCAATATAATATTAGTATTTTTAAAATTACGTAAAAAAATAAATGAATATTTTTTTTGGACGAAAAAAGTATTAAATATCATATCATAAACCAAAAGTGTCAATTAAAATTGAATTGACATAGTATTTTTTTAAAATTGTACTATATTTAAAAATACTAATTAAACACACTGTTCTTTTGAGGTTTTTACTTAAAATTTTTAATATTCATTAAAATAATTTTTCAAAAATATTTCTACGTCCTTTAACAAAATATTCAAATATTTTTATATTTGTATAATATTTTATACGATTGTTATATTATATTTTTATTATATAACTCTAGGGGTAGGCAAAAAAACCAAACCAATCCGGTGAACCGATTCTCGGTTAATCGAAAAATTCGATTCAAATGAAAATACTGCATATTTGATATTTGATCGGTTCGGTTTTAGTTTCTGATATATTTTTCGATTCGGCTAACCGAACCGAATATATTTATATTTTATATTATTATATTTGAAATTTATCTTAATAATTATATTTGGTTTAGTTTCAGTTCAGATATTTGAAATATCTGCAAATATGTTGATTTAATTAAAATTTTAACTATTTTTAAATTTCGATTCGGTTCGAATTATTACCAAAATTGCAAATATTTTTTGTTAATCGAAAATTCGATTTGGATACAGTTCGCGATTCCGGATATTTGTTCGATTCGGTTCGAATATCAAATAACTACCTATTTGCAAATACCTTAACGGTGCCCACCTCTATATAATACTAATAAAAAATTTATTTTTTTCTAATTTGTACTATGTATAATATAATATTAATATATAAAATTCAACATAAAAATAAAAATAAATACATAGTTACGTGACAAAAAGAATATTTATTTTTTATATGATACGAAAAATTTAATTTTATATTTAAATATCATATAATCCCTATTTATATGACTTCATAAAAATAATTGGCATGGTGTGGTAGGTTTGAGATAGTGGGCATTAATTACAAGTTAATGGGCTAAATAAATGAAGGCACCATCGCGAAAGGGTCGATTTGGCCTTTCAAATATGTGGCACATTACCTTCCCACGTTCACTCCATTCCTATGTTTTTTCTTCGGCTTAATTTTTTTAAAATTTTAATTAAATTTATTTTTATTAAAAAAAAAAAAAGTAAAAAAAATATAATATTTAATATATTTTTTTTTTAATGATATGATTATTTATCGTAATAAAACTATTATTTTTAGACAGATAAAACTAAGTAAAATAGAATTATTGAATTGAGAAAAAGAAAAGAAATATAATATAAATAAAACACATATTTATATATAATAAATATAAATTAATAACGTGTAAACCTGTACGATGTACGGTTTGTATAAATTGTTGAAATAATATTAAAAAAATAATTAATTATATTGGCAAATATTTTGTAGAATGATACAAATATTCTTAAGACTAATCAACAATTAATACTAAATTTACCATGTGAAAAATTCTTTTTATTGTATCCATGAAGATATAATTAATACTATATATATAAAAACACAATCTATAAAAATGTTAATAAACTTTCGTACTAATTATATATCATTTCATGTTATATATTTAAAATAAATATGCTAAAATAATTAATAATAAAATAATATATATGTCTATTTATATGTGTAAAATATGTTTGATAGACGTGTTTTGCAATTAGCCGATAGTTATACAAAATATATATATATATATTTAATTATATACTATTAGTCTATATATATATATATATATATATGCTTTTTAATATATGTGGTACAATTAAAAAAATAGAACTTTAATGTTCAAATATGGGTTTGTTTACTTCGTTTTTTTAGGGGAATATGTTTATATATATATATATATATTAAGTATAAGTAGTTATATAATTAATATAAAAAATATTTTTTTATTTTTAATTATTGACTTTTTATGAACGTATAAAATAAAATATATTATATAATGTGTTGACATATATATATACATTATACTTTTGATAATATCTACAAGTAATGGACATCATAAAAAAAGAAAAAGTTTAGGTGAACGAACCCATTTGTCATGAATGTTGTTATAGCGCCGATTGGAATGCATGTGATGTATAAATTCTATATTAATATGCTATAAATATAATATATAAATTGACAGCATATTATAATAATAAATATATTACTCCCTCCGTCCCAAATAAGATGCAACATTTACTTTTTGACACGGGTTTTTAGGTTGGTAGTTTTAAGTAGGATAATTTAGAAATTAGGTGATGTGATGGAGAGAGAAATATATATTTTATTTTTTTTATTTGGATGCTGTGAGAGGATAAGGGAGGGGAAAGATTAAGAATAATTAATTATTTCCTATTTTGGAAATGTTGTATGATGTTTGGGACATACCAAAAACGAAATATTCAGGGTGTTTGGGATGGGGGGAGTACATAATACAATTGATCTCATTACAAATGGATATATTAATACAACAAACTTGTATAATATAAATCTCGATACATATTGTAATAATTTATATATCACATGTTATATTGATTCATACCGTGTGCTAAATATTTCGTATGCTCATCATGAACTATTCAACACATTAATCGTTTTCATTTGTATATTTAATGTTAGTTTAGACGAGTATTGTGAAAATAAGAGTGCCATGAAATCGAGTCGACGATGAATCTTCTTACTGAAAATTATATATGTCTCGGTAGTTCTTTCGGTAGCTGGCTTTATAATCTAAAGATAAAACAGTTTATTTTTAATGAGAGTAACATTTCAGATCGTTGGAATTCTGACGAACAAAAACGAGAGAGAAATTGAACCAGAAAAATTGCCGAAAAGCTACAAAAGAAAAGAGAATGTTGCGATCGAATGAATGAGGCGGTCCTTCTTGTATAGGCACACCACCCGGCAGAAATAAAAAAACCTTTGCCATGAAAGGCAAAGATATTGTTTATGTAAATTACAATCGCGGTTAAAGTAGTGATATTGTTACTGTAAATTACAATTGTGATTAAAGAATGATTATGATCGCAATTTATACGATCACAATTGGATACGGTCCAACTTACCGGAGAAAAAACATTACCTGGATCTCGGGCTCTCAACGTTTGGGCTTGTCTTAAACTCCAAGAATTGAGCTTGTCTGAAAACAAAATTAAATATTTGAGTTTTGAGCTTAATTATTTAAGGGAAATGAACCAAAACTATGAAAAGAAAATACGTAAATTAAATAAGTTGGAACTGAAGTAAAGAAATTAAATAAAGAAGTTGAATTGGAAGAGGGTTCTTTCGAATGAACAATCAAAATCATAATAAAAAGACAACAACAAAAAATAATAATAATAATAATAAGAAAGTAGAAGGAAAAAATAAAGAAAAAAGAAAAATCCAGTAGAAAAATCTTACAAGTATGATCCCCTTATCTTCCACTCCATCTTGGAGTGCAGACATGTCCAATATATTTTTTTTTGGCATCTAACAATAATATTTGATAATTATTTTTAGAGCAAAAATTATTTTGTATTCTATTATTGTATATCACAATGTTAAACGAGCCGAGCCGGCTTGATTCGGCTTGGTTAATGCTCGTTTGCGAACGTTAATAAGTCGAGCCGAACAGTATAAACAGGCTCGTTTATTTAACGAATGAGTCTGAGCTTTGTTCGCGAACAATTCGCGAACGTTCGTTAAAATAATACATATATTATAAATATTATATATACATATAATATTATAATTTATAAACAAATAAAAATATCAATTTAAAATAAATAAATAAAATAGTTTTAAATTTTCTTTTAAATTTATTTATAAATTAAAAAAAAGTAGACAAACGAGCTTGAATGAGCTTAATCGAGCCTAAACGAGTAGAACACGAACACGAGCTCGAACAATAAAAATTCTTAACAAACCGAGCTCGAAAGCTTAACAAATGAACACAAACGCTGTTCGCGAACATTAACGAACGAACACAAACACTTAAAATTCGATTTAGCTCGGCTCGTTAACAGCTCTAAAGGGGCCTAACCCCATAACAATTTCAAAGTGTCAAATTTTAGGATATGTATATACTAGCATTAAGTATATATATATATATAGATTGTCTCATTATCGTCGTGAGCTTCGCGAGCATAAGTGGTACCCTAAGGATAGGATACTAAGTTTTAGTAGACAAGTCGACTATGAATTATTATCTACTATAAATGAAATATTCGGGTGAAAAACTTCGCATATCCCTTCACCAAATCCTCGAGAGCCAACCGATTGGGGGGAATTGGGGGAATATATCAAGAAATGTGTACACTATAACGGGTCAAAATGACACTTGTGTAAGCATATATTTAGAAAATAAAGATTTGTCACCCGATTATGCAAAAAAGACAACAAACCGGAAGCCCAATACCGACACAACCTCTTTTAGGTCTAATGTAAACAACCTATATATATATATATATGTAAAGACTCGTATAAGTAGAACTTACAATGCAGTAATTTAGGTTAATTTGAAATTCAAAATTTTGTGACAAATAATTCGTATATTTAAACTAAAAATAAGAGTATTTCACCTATATTACCCGAGAATGATTAGGGTGTTGATGGAGGGTTAATTGACACCATATGAAATATGGGCTGCCGCTACATAACTTGAATCAATACAACATGTTCTAAAATCAATCTTAATATGTGTTAATTCGTATATTTACTATCAGCACAGTCCTGATTAATCTAAATCAGCAGTACTACTAGCTGAGTTGAGTTGAATGGGGATGTTCGAAGATTGATTCAACTCGATTAATTAGACAAGATTTCCAAATCAAACATAGCACTTAAGAATCGTGTCTAAAACTATTAGTACAATGTTGATTAATCTCAATCACTGTCGCCTGCATTTCCCTATTACTTTACTTCTAGCTGAGTTGAATGTAAAAACCCGAAGCATGACTCAACTCGATTATTTAGACAAGATTTCCAAATAAACATAGCATCTAAGAATCTCATCTAAAACTAGAACCACAATGTTGATTAATCTCTCAATCAGTAGACCGTAACCGTGGCCTACATTTCCCTATAACTTTACTTTGCTGTGTTGAATGTGAAAACCCGATGCATGATTCAACTCGATTATTTAGACAAGATTTCTAAATCAAATATAGCATAATCTCATCTAAAAACGCTATTGGAATCAAGAACACTACTGAATCAACCAATAACAGAAGTAGCTAGATCAAACTCACCCGATAGAAAAGAATTCGTGGCCGTGTGCTCTGATGGAGATCGAACTTTTTCATTTGTCGAACTCCCAGATGACACCTCCATCCTCTGTACATACCATCAAAAAAAAAACATCAAACATTATTGATGATTGAATCCAATTTACTCAAGTGAGGAAGAAATCAATGTGTTATAAATACCTGCAACTTTTTTGTTTATCCAGATTTCTGTGAGCATTCCTGCGCCGATTCCAGCAGCTATGAACGATCCGTAGAACAAGGTTGCAGAGAGTCGAGACATCCGAGGGAGGAAATAGTAATCTGGAATTTGCCGGACCTTCTTCGGCAACCGTTTCTTCACAGCTGCGGACTCACTGCTGCCTGAATCTCCGATGCTCTTCCATTCGAACGCTTTGGATGCATCTTTGTTCTCCGTTCCCATGGCGGAACTGGAGACGTCTCAATTCTGCTGCAGATTCAATACCGCACCGCAAATGACGACTCGATGCCGACAACCAAATTAATCAACAACAATTAGTAGCGTGAATCACTTTAAATTCGAACGAAGCGATTTACACCAAGAATTATCTGAAACGGCAAAAAGGAAATAAAAATAAAAATAAAAATAAAAAAAATCGGCAGATTCGTCACATTCAACGAACAAAACAGCAGAGACCACAAAATTGATGCAAATGCCTTAAAAATCTTACAGTTGGTTCCACTTCAACCAATTTAAGGAAAAAAATAAGGATTGAACTTACAGGTTTTTTCTTCGGAAGTGAGGAAACCGACGAGGAGGAAAGAAACTGATCGCCGGTGCCGGCGAGCGTATGAGTTAGGGATTTTCAGTACTCTTTAAACAAATGCGGAAAGTACCAAAATAAATGAAATTGGGCCGAATTATTAAGCCCAAATTATTTGATGGTCTAATCCAAAAAATATTTTGAAGTTTTCAAAAAAAAAAAAAAAAGAATTAGAATTATGATTTAAAAAGCATATTTATGAAATATAAATATATTTTTCGATATTTATTAGTACTATATATATTAATTTTTAATATTGAATATTAACTGAATTAGATATTATATAATTTTTAAAAATATATATATATCTGCTATATTTAACTATTGTTTAAATATTTTCGACGATTTATTAAAATATATACGTATATATATATATATATATATTACTTACAAACTTGTAAATGGTAATACTGCAAATTCCAGAAAATCGAGGGATATAAAATAAATAATGCACATGCACAAGGCGAGGCAGGGCAAGGCTCCACCTATGAATTATATAACACGTGATTTTTATCGCATGTTGTTTTGACAAAATTGTAAGACTTTGTTTGTTTTATATTTCAAACAAAACAAAACAAAAAAAAGACATTCGATACAAAGCATTCATTTTATCTTTTTTTTTTTTAAATTCATATTTATTTATTTACATTAATACTGTAATATAAAATTGAAACATAAAGTTATAATTTATGTACTCTCCCGTCTCAATGCAATAGTCCTATTTACTATTTTTGTCCGTCCCAAAACAATAGTCTCATTTTCATAAATAATCATATCACTATAAAACTATATTTACTTTTTCATTATTATTACACAATTACCACTATTTTTTACACTAATACATTAACAATGGCAAAAAAGTCTTTTACTCGTACTTTTTATCCACTACCAATATAATATCAATATTCCTTAAATCTCGTATCAAACACAACCAAGACTATAATTTTGAGACGAATGGAGTATAAAAACACACTATATAACTATTATTAATATCCAATATGACCGTGCTGATTTTATCGTATAACATATACTTGTATATATTTGTATAGAGTATAGTATATATTTTATAGAACGCCATACATACTTTTTCCAGTGATTTTATTCCACTAAATTTTTACTCCCTTCGTCTACACAATAAGTATACATTTATTTTTGGCTTGGAGTTTAAAAAATAATAGTATTTTAATTATAGTAGATAGGTAAAAGTAGAGTAATGACATTTTTATCCTTACCTTTTGGTATAAAAGTAATTATGTGTTGTAAAGTAAGGGTATTTGTGGAAAAAAAAAAGGGGTATTTAATGAAATGGTTACTTCGCAATTGAACGTCTCAAAATAAAAATATGTATACTTTGTAGCTGGACGGATCAAGTATAAATGTTACAACTAAAAGAAATTATATTGCCTCTTAATTAAACATTGATGTCGCATCATTATTTTAAAATTTAAAGTGAATTATTTAAATTTTAAGATATTACCGATACTCAAATAATTATAATTTAATCCAATTAAAATAATTATTTTATATTTTGAAATATAAATATACAAAAATATTACTATTGTATTATTATTTTTTAATAAATCGAGTCTCTTAATTAAATTTATATATTGTGATACCAGTAAAAAAATAAAAATAAATGACATTAATGGAAAGACTAATAAAAATGGTTAAGTTGATCAAACTCTAAGAAATTACTCGTAAATTGAGACAATAAAAACTTCTTCAATTCTTCAAAGCACAACCATGCATGCAAATCAACAATAATCTCTCAGAAATTCCCAAAATAGTTGCAGCTTTGACCAAAGAATTGACCGAAGAGTCAACGCCATCCCTTATACCCTACTAGTTATTTTCTATGTTTTTAATTCGAAATTTATTTCTGTATTCATTAATATTTTCTTTAAAAAAAATTAAATTAAATATTTATTATTTTTACATCATATTATACTAAAATTTATTTTTTATATTTAAAATATTATGTCAAAATTTATTTATAATATATCAAGTAATTATTAAAATTCAAAATTTCAGTGCCTAAAATTCCAAAAAACCAACCAAACACACCCTTCTCTCCCAATCGTGTGGTGTTGAAGTTATCGCATGTGCGTTCTCTCTCTCTTATAAAATTATTTTTTAATAATTATATATAATTATTAATAGATATTTTTACTTATTTATATTATTGTAAAGTTCTTATATACTTTCTTAGTACCACTTATTTTCTCTCATTTAATTTGGGCACAAAATTTTAAATATTATATAATGAGTAAGTAATAAAAAAATATATTAATAAAAATAATTATAGATTAAGATTAAATGACTAAATAGTTTAATTAAAATGAAAAATATATAAATTATGAATTTTAAAATATATAATTATATTTTAGAAAAAATGACAAATTATGTAGAATATATATAGATTAAAAGAGTGTGATAAATTAAGTAGGACGGAGAGGGTATAATATTATAAATAAAAATAAATATTTAATTTAATATTTTAAAAAATATATATATATATGAATAATGCTAAAATTCCTAAAATGCACCTATTATAGATTGAATCGCATAGCAAAAAGTAATATATACTTACTTTTTTCTTATAAAAATATTACATTAAATACTCGTTAGAAAGGTACACTTTATTTCTTGCGTTATTATATTCAATATTAAAAATATATTTATATTAATATAGAAATTAATAGAAGTATTTTTTTATTACTTATTAATATAGTAATAATTAATATAAAAAAATCTACACATAAAAAGTTAATAGTACCTTTTTTAAAAAAAAAATATTAAAAAGTATGTTAGAATAATAATTAAGAATAATTTTAAAAAATATGAATAATTTTATTATAAAATGGATGAGAACCACGATTAATAAATAAAAAAACAAGACCATTATTTTAGAATAAACGAAATAAAAAAATAAAACAATTATTACGGGAGGGAGAAAGTATTAATTTGATTTGAAATAGTAAAGAATAAACCCATGAATTTGATTTGATATATATATATATTTTTGAATAAATTGGTGAATAGTGATTTTTTTTTTTTTAATTTTTTTAAGAAAATCCAACCAAACAGAAGCTTTAGTTTGGCGTCACGCTCTTTATGCCTGACGGGAGCACATCTAACCTTCTTTGGTCTGATCTGTATGTATTATTAATTGTTAATTGTTAATGTTATAGTTGTAGCTACCACTTTTTGTTAGATATATCTAATCTCTCTCTAACCAAACCAGTCCACTCCCACATTTATTTATTATTATTATTATTTATTATTATTATTATTATTATTATTATTATTATTATTATTATTATTATTTATTTTTATTGCAGCACTACTTCTGTAGGACTGTATCTATTAATAATTGTTGAAGTTTCACTGTACTGAAATGTAAATACCCATAAATTTGTAACGAAACTTCCGTTTCCATTTCCATGGTTCTCATGACCACACCTCACTCTCACTGAACTTTCCCTTTTCATACCTAATTATTTTTATTTCTACAAACCCTTTTTTTTTTTTTTCCCGCTAATTATATAAATTTTAAATTAAATAATTTAAGTGTGTAACACACTCGGAATTATTTCCCCCTACTTATAGCCATTCATTATTGTCGATAATGTTTTTATCGTTGTGTACATCGTACCTGATTTATTAATTTCTATGGGTGTGAGTTCATTTATAACTCATATGTACACATATATATATATATAATATATTGTTATTTTAAGATATGAAAAATAAAAATAAAAATAAAATAAGATGATTTATTTTTTAAAAATTAAAGTACAATTTTTAATATAGTTATATAAAAGAATATATTTTTACATTAAAAAAATAAATCAATTTGGGGCAAAAATGGACTACTCTAGTTGTTATTAGTTAATACTCTCTCCGTCTCATATATCATGTCCACGTTGCCGTTTCTGTCCGTCCCACATACCATATCATTTTCCTTTTTTGAGAAATGATTACACACTTTAATCTCATTTTAAATTTTTTAATTTTTTTTTTAAATTTTAATTAAACTAATTAGTTATCTTAATTTTAATTTATAATTATTTATATATAGGATAGTTATTTTCACTAATATATTCCTAATTATCTACTAATTACACCCCTCTTAAAATACCGTGTCTACAGTGTGATGTATTTGTGCTGTATTAATATTTAATATATGCGGATATTAATTATGACATTTATTGAATTGATGATTAATATGTATTATAGTAATTTGTTTCATTTTATCATAAAATTTTGTGGTGAGAATATAGTATGTAATTGTATTTATTATTGCATCCGTCCTACATACCATATCTACTACACTGTAGACAATTTATTTTAGGAGGGGTGTAATTAATAGATAATTAAGAATGTATTAGTAAAAATAATTACCCTATAATATAAATAATTATAAATTAAGATTAAGATAACTAATTAGTTTAATTAAAATTTTAAAAAAATAAAATTAAAAAGTTTAAAATGAAATTAAAGTGTATAATCATTTTTCAAAAAAGGAAAGTGACATGGTATGTGGAATTGACAGAAACGACAACGTGGACATGGTATGTGGGACGGAGGGAGTATTACCATACGATAATTACAGCTAATCAATATAGTATGTAATTATATAAATATATATTACTATTGGGCATGATCGGATCAAACATCCCATAGTCATATATTCAATCCATCGAATCGCGATAAAAAAAATAAAATAAAATAAAAATGATTATTACGTCACTTTTAGATTTTTTTTTATTTATTTTATTTATTTATTTCATTTTCGTGTCACGTGTTTTTATAATTGCTTTTATTGTGAAAATTTGATGCAAAAACTCTTTGTATTGGGTGTGTATTGTTTAATTTTAAATTAAAATCAATATTATTTAGCTTGTTCACTTTAACAAAAAAATATATATATTATTGTATTTATTTTTATAAAATATTGTATTAAAATATATTGAAATAAAATAAACAAACCAGTACCAAACAAATCCATGAAAATACTCAAACCAAACCAAACAAATCCATTATTGTTTTTGTAATTGTTATTTTTCAATAGCGACACATAGTTTCAAATATTTATCTAAATTCTAAATAATGTTGAAAATTATACTTCTCGAGAGCAATCTATTTTTTATTTTTGTCACATTATATAATTTATAATGAAATGTATTATGAAAGAATATTTTATATTTATTATTATGTAATTTCTAGATAATGAAAATTAACTATGTGGGGGTATTCTATTTTATTCACATTATATAAGTTACAATGATATATATATATTATATATTAAAAATATATATTTATTTTTTATTTTAATGTCCCATCACAAATATATCTTCCATTAATTTATCAAAAATCTAATTTAGGTAAAGACAAAAAAAACACAATAATAAACTCAAAACACTAAAAACCACATAATTATAGATTATTTTTTCTAAAATATAAATAAATTATAGTATCAAAATATTTTTATATTTATTATTATGCAAATTCTAGATAATGAAAATTATACTTGCGGGGAGTTGGAGTTTTAATTTAAAATTTTTTTAATGTCGAATATATGAATATGCTAATATTATAAAAAATAATATTCTATTTTGAATATTGAATTTTTTAGAAAAAAAAAAAGAAAAAATATATTATGAGAATTGTATCTAAAAAAGTTATGGACTATCAAATCTTTTAGTGACATTACATATTTATAATGAAATATATTTTTAAAATATTTATATATATATTTATTTATTTACAATGTCCCATCACAATCTATCTTCTATTAAAATATTCATCCAAAAATCTGTTTTAGGTTAAAAAAATAATAATAATAATAATAATAATAAGCTCAAAATATTAAAAGCCACAAAAATATAGACTATTTTAACCAATATAGAAAATAAATTATATTATAAATATTAATTAGTTTGGGCAAAAAAAAAACATATATACTGTAAACCCTAATTTACCCTTTACAAATATATATAATAAAAAAAAAAGTAGCCTATATTTAATAATAGAGCCCAAATTTGGTAAATGGAGACCAAAAACAAAAACAAAAATAAAAAATAAAATTAAAAATTCTTATACATATATATATATATATATATTTTTCTTATACATATATTTTGAGAGAGTAGTGTGGTGTGATATATACAGAGCTCCACCAACCACCATAGGCTTTAGGTCTCGCCAAATCTGAGGCGTTGATCAGAAAAAAATGAACGGCTGAGATGAATCCTCAACCAACTCCTCCATCTTGACTTGTCTTCCCCAACTCCAACTCCTCTCCATCGCCAATCTCACCTACCAAAATCCTCTTATGTATCACGACACGTTTTCCTGCTTCCCTACCAGTCTCCTCTATTTAACTCCACACACCGCACCTACTATATTTCAATAAATCTCCTCTCCTTAATCTCCAATCGACCACGCCTTCGCACACACAGGCGGCGTTCGCTGAATCCAGGAGGAGAAAACGCAATCGGCGTGCGCGCGGTTTTGATTTTCTGTGAATAGAATTTGTGTGAAGAATTTTGGTTGATAATGGCGGCGGTTAAGGAGAACGGTTTCCACTCGAACGGTTTCTGCGTGCAGAGCAAGGATCCGTTGAATTGGGGACAGGCGGCGGAGTCGCTCAAGGGGAGTCATCTCGAGCAGGTGAAGCGTATGGTGGAGGAGTTTCGTAAGCCGGCGGTGAAGCTCGGCGGAGAAACGCTCACTATATCTCAGGTCGCCGCGATCGCTGCTAGAGATAACGCCGTCGCCGTTGAACTCGCGGAGTCGGCGCGCGCCGGCGTCAAGGCGAGCAGCGATTGGGTGATGGAGAGCATGAATAAAGGAACCGACAGCTATGGCGTCACTACCGGCTTCGGCGCCACCTCACACCGCCGGACCAAACAAGGCGGCGCTCTGCAGAAGGAGCTCATTAGGTAAATTCAATTTTCAACTCTACTTACTTCGTTAATTACTTCTGTTAAAAGTCATTGGCGATCTAATTACGAATTTAATTGTTTTTTTTTAGATCTAATCTATACACTGCTTGCTCCTATTTATTGAACTAAACGTTTGCATGTTGAAAATGGAAATCTGATGTGTGTTGCCAAATCTGATCAATTTTTTTGGATAATTGTAAATATATTCGTCATAATTCCAAATATATTTAGAGTCAATTTCAATTTATAGTTCTATACTGTGATCTATTTTATCATTCACTCTGTTTCCTTGGCCTTATTAGGTGCAATTTCTTGTGCAACGTGAGTTCTACATAAATTAAATATATAAATTAATACTCGCGTATAAAATATACATTTAATTTTTTTTGGCACTCTTAACTTTTTTTTTTATTATTATTTTTAAAATTTTTCTGTAGCCTATTAAATTTTCAATTGGCCATTGTCCAAAAGTAGGTGTAGCGGTATATCCTTACAATCACCACCTAACAAGATGCTGTTACTTTTTTGTTGTGTGAGATTTTTATTTATTAATATTATATTATTTTCAATGATACATGACTTGTTTGCATAGGCAAAAAGTGAAATTTGGAAAATTTTCGGCACTTTTCCTCTAATAGCAATTTTCTTCGAAACATTAATTAAATATTCATAATTTTTTTTATTGGAAATTAATTATTGAAATTGAATTTCTCAGGTTTTTGAACGCCGGAATCTTTGGGCACGGAACAGATCCGTGCCACACGCTGCCGCACTCCGCCACCAGGGCGGCGATGCTCGTACGGATCAACACCCTCCTCCAGGGGTACTCCGGCATCCGGTTCGAGATCCTCGAAGCCATTACCAGCTTCCTCAACCACAACGTCACCCCATGCTTGCCCCTCCGCGGCACCATCACCGCCTCCGGCGACCTCGTGCCGTTGTCGTACATCGCCGGCCTATTGACCGGCCGTCCCAATTCCAGGGCGGTTGGTCCCGACGGCAGCCTCCTCGACGCCGAGGAAGCCTTCAAACTCGCCGGCGTAACCAGTGGATTCTTCGAGCTCCAGCCAAAGGAAGGCCTCGCCCTTGTCAACGGCACCGCTGTCGGCTCCGGATTGGCGTCCATCGCGCTCTACGATGCCAACATTCTCGCCGTCCTCTCGGAAGTTATGTCGGCGATCTTTGCCGAGGTCATGAACGGGAAGCCCGAGTTCACCGATCACTTGACGCATAAGCTCAAGCACCACCCGGGCCAGATCGAGGCCGCCGCGATCATGGAGCACATACTCGACGGCAGCGCCTATGTCAAGGCGGCACAGAAATTGCACGAGACTGACCCTTTGCAGAAGCCGAAACAGGACCGATATGCCCTGCGGACTTCGCCGCAATGGCTAGGTCCTCAGATCGAAGTCATCCGGACGGCGACGAAAATGATCGAGCGGGAGATCAACTCCGTCAACGACAACCCGTTGATCGACGTCTCCCGGAACAAAGCCTTGCACGGCGGCAACTTCCAAGGGACGCCGATCGGCGTGTCGATGGACAATGCTCGATTGGCCATCGCCTCCATCGGGAAGCTTATGTTCGCCCAATTTTCCGAACTCGTGAACGACTTCTACAACAACGGCCTGCCGTCGAACCTCTCCGGCGGCCGCAACCCGAGCCTTGACTACGGCTTCAAGGGTGCCGAGATCGCCATGGCCGCCTACTGCTCGGAGCTCCAATTCTTGGCGAATCCCGTCACCAACCACGTTCAAAGTGCTGAGCAACACAACCAAGACGTGAACTCGCTAGGCCTAATCTCGTCGCGGAAGACCGTCGAGGCGTTGGACATTCTGAAGCTCATGTCCGCAACGTTCCTTGTCGCACTCTGCCAGGCGATTGATCTCCGGCACATTGAGGAGAACCTCCGGCAAGCCGTGAAGAACGCCGTCGGCGTCGTCGCGAAGCGGACGCTGACCACCGGCGCCAACGGTGAGCTCCACCCGTCGCGGTTCTGCGAGAAGGACCTCCTCTCGGTGGTCGACCGGGAATACGTATTCGCCTACGCCGACGACCCATGCAGCGCCGCGTACCCGCTCATGCAGAAGCTCCGGCAGGTCCTCGTCGACCACGCCCTGAAGAACGGCGACGGCGAGAAGAACCACGGCACGTCGATCTTCCAGAAGATCGAAACGTTTGAGGACGAGCTGAAGGCGATTCTTCCGAAGGAAATTGAGAATGCTCGGGCGGCGGTGGAAGCCGGAGCTCCGGCCATCGGAAATAAGATCAAGGAATGCAGGTCATATCCTCTGTATAGGTTCATAAGGGAGGAGCTGGCGGCGGAGTTTCTGACGGGGGAGAAGGCGGCGTCGCCGGGGGAGGAGTGCGAGAAGGTGTTCGCCGCCTTGAGCGGCGGCGGAATTGTGGATCCGTTGATGGAGTGCCTCAGGGGATGGGACGGAGCGCCGCTGCCAATCTGTTAGTTCGTTATTTGGGGGATTTGGGGTTTTTTTTTTTTTTTTTGGTAAAATTTTTAATTTTATTTATGGTTTTTTTTTTTTTTTTTGTATTGTGGTGTAGGAAAATTGTGACTGTGTGTGTGTGGTGGGGGATTTGTTGTTGTTATAATAAATGGTGTATAAATAAAAATTACTATTGTTATTGACTTGTTGGTGGTGGTGTTGTTGCGTCACTTTTGTTGCTATTTATTGTGAATTTATTTGTCGTTTTCTGTTGTGGAAAATTTTGTTTGTAATTGTGTTGATGATGCTATAGTTTTGCGGCAAGTGACAGTTCTTAGATGTATTTGGGTCTACTGATGTCGCAGGCTTTTTAATGTTGTTACTATTATTTAAAATAATTTTCTAAATTAAGAATTGTTATTAATAAATTTGAAAATATATATACTCGGAAATTAATGTATTTATTTTTTTATTTTAATTCATCTGAAATAAAAGTACTCATTTTTAAATAATTGTACTCCTCACCTAATAAAAAAAATTACAAAAAAAGTATTTTTATTATTAAACAAAAAACGTAGGGGCAAATTGTCACTTGATATATCTATTATACTATATATACATATATTCCTTCCCTAACCTAAACCTCACTTCACCCAAACCCTTAAGCTATACTTAAATCCAATTTGGTGAATTTGTTAAGAATGGTTATTAGAGTGTGATTATTTTAGAAAGAGTTGAAACCATTTTGGATAGAAAGCAAGTCTTTTTTTTTTTTTTTTTTTTTTTTTTAATGTAGGAACCCGCTGCCGCTACCTGAAAATGCGCATCGGGTAAACTCTCGGCCAAACTCAATACTTTACAAATTTGAATGTTTCACCAGAGAGCAAGGGGCAGAGAAGGCACAGACGAAACTAAGCTAGGGCAGCTGCCCTTGCCCCCACCACTTATAGGATGTGTTTGCTTGAAGGATTTGTGTGGATTTATACTATTTATATATTATTTTTTTCAAAAATATCAAATCAAATATTTATTTTTTATATAATACTAAAAATTAATTTTATATTCAAAACATCACATCAATACATATTTATATCACATTAAATAACTATTCAAATTTAATTTTTTTACTACTCAAATCTCAATCCAAAATCCAAAATCCAAAATCCAAATCCCCAAACAAACCCACCCTATTTGATTATTTATTTATTGAAAAAATACATATGTATATAAGATATAAAAAATAAGTTACATAAAAGAAAAAAAAAATGCTAAAATATGAAAGTTTGGGTAATTTTGGTTTTATATCAGAATTATTATTATTATTCACTTGGTATGATTATAATAAAAATATATTATTTTATTTTATAAAATATCATACCAATATATTATTTAAAGAAATTTTCTTTTTAACTCAAACCAAAATCATATTTCATTTAGGGATGTCAAATGGGGCGGGTTAGCCCCGGATCCGTTCTTAATGGGGCGGGTTCGGATCTAAATATATGTTTCGGGCGAATTGTGGATTTGAAATTTTAAACCCGATCGAGTTAGGGGCAAGTTACGGGTTTTACTAAAAACTCGTCCCAACCTAGACCCGGATATTTTTTAAAATTATTATAACTAATATATATGTATATTTATATAATAAAAATATATTATTTATTTATTTAAATAATTTTAAACATAAAACTCAATTAGTTGTCTGCCTCAGCCCTAAATTCATAATTTCTTTTTCCGCTTCTTCAACCGCGTTGTTGCCGTCTTCCATCCTCATCTACTTGTCTTCTTCCAACTACCACCTTCCGCCAGCGCCAATATAATAATATGCATATATATTTTTTAATTAGGTACTAGATGAAGATGAAAACTTTGATGTCGAAGGATGTTAGAATTGACTTTTAGATTTTTTTTTTGTGTTTTTAATACTATTTGTTTTAGTATTCGATTGTTAAAAATATACTTATTATTATATATTTTTTTTAAAAAAACGAGCTTTCCGGATTGACTCCGAACCCGAAGGGTTTGGAGTGGGACAAGTGCTGGGGCCAGGTGGAAGCGGAGCGAGTCTCGAGGCTTAATATTTTCTAGCAGGGCGGGTCTCGGGGCCGGCAGAACCCGTCCCGAACCCGCCCCGTTGAGATCCCTAATTTTCTGAGTCTCTGACCATGATGACTCACGTAGTGGCTCCCGGACTACCGACTGCGGATCGCAACAGCTCTGACTTTGTCGGACAGCAAGCAAACTAGCATATGGTCTTTCAAAAGAAACTAACCTAACTCAACTAATGCACTCTTTTTAAAAAAATAAAGTTTAATAACGTAATATAATATTTATGATATTATTATTTTTATTTTTTTTATATAAATAGTGGTGTTGGTATATTTTAAAATAAAAAATAATATAATTAAAATAATTTTAAAATATCTATTGCAATATTTCAAACGCTACGTCTCTTTAATATATATATACAATATAGATATTATGTTATACATAATAACATTCTGTATAACATAATAAAATAAAAATATATTTTTTATAATTAGTATAAATTAATTTTATAAAAAATAATTTAAATATAAATAAAAATCATATCAATTGTTATAAGCCGAATAAGTATATAACTAAATGAGTTGGACTTAGGGTTAAGTATAGATTAGTTTTGGACTTAATAAATTGGGCCTAATTTCAAACTACAAATAACAGATGTAATAATTTAAATAAATTTTATTTATACCACATATGAAATAAAATAAATAAATATATATATATAATAGTACACAATATTGGAAGAAAATAAAAATCAATTTATTATAAATAAAAATTACAAAGAGAATGGAAACAGAATCTTATATCTATTACAACAAACCAAATTGGTTTGGGCTGATTGAGCCCTTTACCAGTCTAGCCCGTTGGACAATGTAAATTAGTTATTAAAAATAAATAAAAAATAAAGGTGTTTATTTGAAGTAAAATTTTAAAAATAATAATACTCCCCGTGGAAGAGTGGCGTTTGCTTTTTGCACATAAATTTTTCAATATTAGTATTATATTGGATTGTAGTAAAAAAGACAAAAATACCCCTATTAGTATAGTGTAATATAAAAGTAATGACATTTGAGTAATATATTATAAGTTGAAAGCGTATTTATTATGTTAAGTAGGTAGTACAATTACTAAATTAAGAAATGATAATCTTGTTTTGGGACGAACAGAAATAGAAAATAGTAACCTTTCAATGGGACGGAGGGAGTAATAATAATTACCTATTATACCATTTATATATTTTATTAGAAATTTTGTAACATCTTTCAAAATTTTAATATTTATTTATTTTATTTTTAATTATATCAAATAAATATTAATATATGTTTAAATTATATTATATATTTTGAAATAGTTTTAATTATTTTTTTAAACAAGTTTAATTATAATAATTTTTTAATAAATTACAAATTAGTATATAATTATATCTATAATACTAATATTTTACCTCATCCGTCTCATCTAATATGAATATATTAATATGCATACTGGAATATAGGTAAAATATAATTAATACGTAAAATTATTGTTTATCTTTATTGGTAAATTTAAAAAATATGTAATATATAAAGTATTTGGTTCCTCCAATACGTAATCATGTAATTTTTATTTTTATTATATTGAACAAATCAATTTTGTATCACATTTTATAAATAAATTAATCAAATTTTATTAAATACTTTTTTTTTATTCATATAACATAAGGATAAAATAGTAAAATTATTATATTTTTCCTTTTTTCGCTTTACGATAATGATATCGCAATTTTCATCTATAACTATCATATTCACCCATCATTTTTTAATTAAAAATATCAAATATTCAATTATTGTTTTATGATTTCTTTCATATGATCAAAAAAAAAATTGTAAAATACACATTTCTTTTATTTGTTTCTATAATATTCATTAAAAATAACACTTGGGGAAAAAAAACGTTAATTACGAATAAATTTTCATTTAAAAATAATATATTTTCTATTATATTTTTTAAAAAACATTGAACGCTATTAAAATACATAAAAATAAGTTTGTTTTTTTTATTTTACTTCCATTATTCTCAATTAAAAAATATTAATATTTTTTAAGTAGATTATAATATTTTTTCACAAAATATTACATTAAATAAATATTTACTTAAAAACAATAAAAATCAAGCAATATCCTCAAATATTTAAATTCATCTAATTTAAATTTTAGTCTAAATAATATTTTATTAAAAAAATTAACATTCTTTTAGTTCCAAATAATAGTCTTATTTTTTTATATTTTTATCCATCTTAAAATAATAATTTTACATATATATATAACAATATATCTCATCATAAAAGTACTCTTATTTTATTATTATTACTCCCTTCGTCCACTTACAATGTTTATATATTTCTATTTTGGGACGTTCAATTACAAAGTTAGCATTTCATTAAATACTCTACTTTTTTTCCACAAATACTCTTACTTTACATCACATCATTACTTTTACACAAAAAAAGTAAGGGCAAAAATGTCATTACACTACTTTTAACTACTCACTACAATTAAAATACTATTATTTCTTAAATACCGCGCCAAAAGTAAATGTCAACCTTCTAAGTGGATGGAGGGAGTATTACACAAACATGTTTATAAGGATATTTTAGTCCGCTACTGTCTATTTATACTCACTTTAATATAATACTAATATTATTTTTTAATTACGGGTCGAACACAAAAGTCACTATTATTTCGAAACAAATAGAGTATTTTTTAGTATAAACAGTAAGAATTGTATATTTCTTAATTATGTTTTAATTTAGTTAAATTTTACTTTAAATAGAAAAATATTAATTGTTATAAAATAGATAAAAATAAAAAAATACATCAATTAAGATAAAACAGATAAAGTAATTCTAATTCAACGGAAGAAATATTATTCAATTTGTATAATTTAAAATACTTTTTTTAAAAAAAAAAAAGAAAAACAAAAATATTGAAATACTATTCCCTCGGTCCCAAACACCCTGCAACATTTCTTTTTTTGGTATGTCCCAAATACCCTACAATATTTCCAAAATAAGAAATAATTAACCTCTGCTCCACACTTTATCCTCTTACATAATCCAAATAAAAAATAAAATATATATTTCTCTCTCTATTACATCACCTAATTTCTAAATTAGCTTACTTAATACTGTCCACTTAAAAACCCGTACAAAAAACAAATGTTGCACTTTATTTGAGACGGAGGAAGTTCTATTTAGTATTTACACGGAAATTAAACTAAAACCAAACAACTTATGAGGGTGTTGTCCGTATAAAGAAATGGATGTTTCGGTGTGTCCAAACACGACAAAACTATTAC